GTTTCGTCCTCGGATAGACTATTGTCTCCTTCGGACGATTCCTCCACGACTCCGGGTGCCGTTTCCGCGACGACGCATTCGTAGTCGAACACATCAACGACATCCCGGAGTCCAATCCCCATTGCTTCCATCATCGGACCCTTCCTATGGCGTGTCAACAGTTCCCGGCTGACCAGCCGAGCAATTTGGATCGCACGGTCCGCCGTGCTTTCACCTCGAAGGGAGGAGACGCACTTACTCATAAGGCACGCTCGCTCCNCTTACTCATAAGGCACACTCGCTCCTCTTCCCCTTCTAATCCATGGAAGGGGTTATAAACCTCCTTGCGCTCCGGAGAGAAGTTGCCTCCGTTTTGGACGTCACTGACCATCATCCCCAGTATGGTGTCCACTGCACCCCTATAGACGCCTAGGTTGCGGAATCTTTGACGAGGGAAACAGTTTTCGACCTCGCTTCCGTCCTCCATCTTGCGCCTTATTTCTTCCCAGCGCACATATTCTGACTCCGTGAGAGGTATATCGTTGCTATACCTATCTCGGATATCAGCCCATTCATCCACCAGCTCCTCGGTGATGGTGAATCCTCCCTTCCTATTTATACCCAAGTTGGGTTGTGGGGCCTCCACATCGCATCGCCCTTGGTCGGCGTCAACGAGAGCCGGGCTACAAGAACCCCCGCCGACGTCCCCTGTGCCATCCGATAGCACTNCACCGACATCCACTGTGCCATCCAATAGCACTGGGGCGGTAACAATATTTCCAGTTATCCTATCTATATTGGTTTTTTTTAATGGGTATCCTTCCCATGCGTTTTTAACCTACCGCCAGGCTCGTAGTTTTTTCAGGGTTGTCCTCCCTTAGGCGGTCGCTTTACCAGGCTAATGGGTCCGCCTACCCAGTTCTATGTTTCTCTCGAACGCTATCGCTTATTCGACCACCCTATTAAAAATAGAGTGACTTATTTCGCGACTACCCTACATATCTGTAGGGTTAACGAGCGTCCGAGAGGCTCGCTGTCCGCGACCGCTTATTCGTCAGTCCCCAAGAAGGGGACTGCTTATTTCGCGGCTAANCACAAGAAAGGGACTGCTTATTTCGCGGCTAACCTGTATATCTACAGGCCGTCCCTCGATCCGCAACCTGAGGACGCGCCCGATTCCCCGAGCAAGGGAACTGCGCCCGCTGCAGCAGCTCGTAGCCCCGTAGAGCCCGATTCCACCACAGTGAGAGCACAGCAAACGGGACGACTGCCGCCCAGCTTAGGACAAAAGTTCCGAGGACAGACCTCAACGCCCTTGGGGTCCAATTGGCGGGCACCAGGCGACAAGGGTCCGAGGTGCTACAGGTGCCTGGAGCACGGGCACGTGGTCCAGACCTGCAAGGGCCCGGACAAGTCCAAGGGGTGCTTCTCCTGTAAAAAAGAGGGGCACAAGGCCAAGGATTGTTGGGGTGTGGGGCTGGTCCTAGGGGCCCCGAAGACAAAGGGGGCCTGGCAAAAAGGCCATTCCGGGTAAGAAGACGGGGGAATGGTTGAGGGGTCTCCCGGAACGCAGCCCGCTAGTGGATGAGATTCCTTCAAACGAATCTCAACCACTGTCGGGCTGCTCAAGACCTGGTCCGGCGGGCGGCGTACGAGATGGGCTCTGACGTGTGCATCGTCTCGGACCCGCACGCCGGATCGGTCCGGGACTCTGCCGGCTGGTTTTTGGACCGGTCTGGCAGAGCGGCGATCGGCGTGATGGACCGTGGCCTAACGGTCACGGACATCGAGTCGGGCGACGAGCGAGGATAGACGGCATCGACGTCTTGAGCTGCTACGCGCCGCCCAGCTTGCCGATCGCCGGACGTCACGCTGGTGTCCCCGTCGTTACACTCGCACGTATCCGGCTGGTCAGTTCTCCCGCACAGGGAAAACCTCAACGACCACCGGTACATCGTGTACGAGTGCGCGATGGCGGCCGTCCTCCCCGAAACTTGCCCAGCGTGCAGTCTCGCGGTGGGCGAGTGGGCTGGCGGGTCGGACTGGCCACGCATTCGAGACGGGCTTACTGCTTGCTCAATGGTCGGCGCCCGCGGTACCGGACTGACACATCTCCGCGAACGAAGCGGCGGAAGAGTTGGACCGGAGGGTGGTCGCAGCCTGCGAATTCGCCCTTCCGGCCAAACGACCGCCAGTCCACTGGTGGAACGTCGAGGTGGCGGCCAGGCGTGAGGAGTGCGTCAGGGTCAGGAGGGCCATGACGCGCTCCAACCGTTGGCCGCGGGACCCGGAATCCCTGGACCCGAGGGAGGCGCAGAGGTCGGCCCGCAAAGAACTGAAGCTCGCCATCAGGCGGGCCAAAGCGAAGTGCTGTGCCGAATTCGTGAAGTCGGTGGACCACGACCCGTGGGGGAAACCCTATCGGGTCGTTATGCGGAAGCTCCGCGGTCCACCGGATTCCGGTCAGCTGGAGGCGGAAGTGTTGGAAAGGGCGGTAGACACGCTCTTTCCGACACATCCGCCCCTGCCTCCCTGGCGTTCGGAGACGACGTGTCGGTGGTGGAATTCATCACCCGAGAGGTGGCTGATGCGGTGGCGCGTGTGCGGGGCCGGAACACAGCTCGAACACAGGCAAGAGTGAGTGGGAAAGGTTCCAAAACCGGACCCATTGTAGCGGACTCACTCAGGTGGCTGGTCAGGCGTGCGGGCCTTTTATTGCTACTGATGCAGTGCGGAGGAAGCCGCGAGGAGATGAGGTGGTTTGACTGACGCGATCATTAACGGGGAAAGGATTAAACCGTGGTCTGAGCGCTTACCATACTTGCTCATGGACAACAGGAAGAACGGCGAAAACATTTTCCCTGTAGGATGCTTCAAAAGTAGAAGCCGATTTATGGGATGTCTGGAGTTTTACGTCACCCTGCCAAAACATCAAGCTGGAATTTTTGATGACGATGTAGCTAGTGACGAGGAGGCCATCACGAGAGATATCACGTTTGTGGAGGACCTGGTGGACCGGAGTCCCGGAACTCTCGATGAGGACGAGGCGCTTCGCATGAAGCGAAAGGAGATGTCGGCGGCAAGTCCGGAGGGAGAGGTTCTAGACACGGAACACTCACTTGCCGCAGCACTCTTACCGCAGGTGACGCCAAGGATGTCGCCGCAAGCAAAGAGGCGGAGAAAGTATGCCGATGAGGACATAGCCGCCCTCGAAAAAGCATTGGCCAAACATGGACAGACCCTTGCGGATATGCGCACTTTTGTCGCCGCTAACCGCAATGTCCATGTGGCCATGAAAAATTGGACCACGCAGCTAGGAAGTGCTCACACTGAGATAGTAGGCCTTCTAAAACCACTACGAAAAGAAGTATGCGAGTAGGACGGAGGACTTCCTGGTCCGCCGACCTGTGAAAGCGAAGGGACGTATTGAGTCTGATGTGACGGCCACACGGCCGAAGCCGCGTACTGCCAATGCATCCGTCCAAACAGGGCCGTGGGACCCATGACCGAAAAAGAAGAAGAAGCGGAGGAGACGTGCAGAGCAACGTGAGCTCGATAACCCCCCCTCGTCGATTGCGATACAACAGGGGATTGGGCCTTGTTCGGTTGTAGCATCACGGAGGAAGGCGCGAGAGCGGCCGCTCGCAGCTCCCCCCCGACGGATAAAGAGGTAAAGTCAACGACTAAAGCCAAGCTCTTACTTACGCTTGGACAAAGGGTGAGGCAAGCTGTTGCTTCAAAACCGGAAGCTGTGCTGGTGAAGCTCAATGGTGATCGTTCCTACGCAGAGGTCGCGAGAAAACTCGTGGCCGGCGTGGACATCCAGGCCCTTGGTCTGACGGTTACGGCCTTCAAGAAACCAGGCAAGGTGACATTGAGTTTCGGGTACCGAGAGGGCAATTGGAACTCGCTGAAGCCGCACGGAGCGCTTTGGGAGATGCTGCGGTGGTGACCACCATCGGGAAACCTGTGGAGATTATCATACGGGACATCGCATCGGAGACCACGATAGAAAATATCGGTCAGGCGCTTCGGCAGGCGCCGGGGACCGAGAATGTGGAAGTAGTCCGAGTGGTCCCTGGATTCGGCGGCAGCCTCACAGCTGTTGCTCGGGTCTCTAGGGCTTTTGAACTACATTTAGACCGAGTAGGACGGGTTCTCGTTGGCCTGGTGCGCTGCCGGATGAGACTCCGGTTTCGCCCTGAGTGGTGCTTCCGATGTCATGGGTATGGCCACTTCGCTAGGGAATGCAATGGGCCTGACAGATCGTCCCTTTGCTTGTCATGCGAGGCGGCGGATCACCATGTGAGCAATTGCACAGCTCCACCACACTGTGTGCTTTGTGAGGGGCGGCCCGGGGGCTCAGCGCATTACCCTGGTAGCGGTCATTGCTCGGCTTACGCGAAAGCGTTATTGGAGCGGGGACATGTACAAGGTGTTCACCTGTCAAAGGTTCGTCTCAGGAAAACAAAATAGGCCTGACTTACCAGGTCGTTTCGTTTTTAGTGTTTTATGTCTGTTTATATGTGTTTCGTTTCCCAACCTTAGCAAAGTCCTACCCCCACCTCCACGTGGTACGGCCTGGGCAACGGATCCCACTAATTGGGGTCCGGTAAACGGGGGAGGCCACGTCGTGTTGTGATTTATAGACGGCGTGGGCCGCCCTGAAGCAATACCTCGCGGTAGTTCCAAGGCGGTCCACATTATGCCGGCGGCGGAAAAAAAAAAGGCATAAAACTCAAAAGAAAAATGACTACTATTTAATATTGTTTCTGACAATTCAATATTACTTTAAATATTTCCAAGTCACTTATAATCTGAATGGCCTTCAAAAAATTTCCTTATTAAATTTAAATTAAATATTTGTTTTAATTAACATGCTCTTTATAAGATCTGTTATTTGTTTAACAGAAAAATTTAACATTTCATACATTGGCTACAAACTAAATATAAAATATACTAATTTAAACTTGACATAAATTAAAATAAATTCATTTTTAAATTTTGCTATTTTTTTATTTATTATTGATATAAATATTTATACACACTATATAATAATTTTTTTACAAACATTTCAAAAATGAAGTACACAAAAAAAAGTGATTTGAAAAAGGTTTACAATAAATTATATGATCTAAAATTGTACGATATTAAAATTAGGTGACATAATTTCATAGATTTCTCATTCATTAACTGTTGTCTCATACATAAAAAATCTTAACATCAAGAAATCGTATCATTACAAATGTTTCAACAGGACAAAAATAACAAGTGTTATAATGCACTAAACATATATTCTGAAAAATTATTTTACTACATTTCACTTTAATAAGAACATGATAAACTAATCATATAACTGTAGTTTTAATTGACAGAAGTATAATATTATTGATAGTAATCAATAATGAGTTTATTGCCACAATCCAGCATAGTTGCCACAAAGATTAGCAGGCAATGGTCCACCTGCTGAAAATAGTCTTGTGCCGGAGTAATCATAACAATGTGTATATATCGCTGGAGTATATTTAACTTGTTGAAATCCTTGGTCCATCATAAAATCTTCATCTGGGTACTAATAAAATTTTAATTATTAATTAAAAAATAATTATTATTTAAATCAAATATATTGTACACACCACATAACCTCTACTTGTTTTTAATACTACAGCTCTACTTGAATTGATACTGGATTCTAAATACTTTCCTGCTCGTATATCATAAAACATTATAACTCCAACACCAGTGCCAATTGTTATTACATTATCTTGAAAACTTAAAGATCTAATACCTAGAGAATTAATTAAATAATACAATTTATAATAAAACTTTAATTTAAATGACCACTTAGTCTCAAGTAATTTATTATTATTATGTTATAATATTAAACACATTTCATTATTTGTTAAATTTTCTATTCTTATTTTAAATGCAAACAAATATAAAATATATTTTAGTTGATATTTTCGAAGCTTTTGATTAAACAACTTTGACTTGGATTCAAAAATGTCGAATCATATTTTAGTATTGATTGAACTAAAAATACAATATTTTTATATAACACGAGAACGATAGTTAATAAAAATTTTTTTTGACAAAACCTAAAATTATTGTAACTTTATTTTGAGTAACTGTAAAATGATAATTAAATAATAAATAATAATATTATATATTTATACTTTATTTTCATTTTTAATATTTATAGAGATAATTACCAAAAAATATAAAGTCAATTTTCACAAAATTTACACACTTTAGATAGTAAATTACAAATCAATCTTATCACTTAATCCTGTGTCTTACATACTCGTCTATACCACCGTTCTTTTGCACAACTGATCCTAAATACTTAAAACTTTCCACCTCGTCTATCACATCTTGGCTTATTGTCACAGATATCCTTATTTCACCAACCTCGCGATCTTCTTTGTGAAACACGTACTCTATATACTCTGTCTTACTCCTACTTAATCTAACCCTTACCTACAAGAGTTGATCTCCATACTTCTAGTCTTTGATTAATTTCTTCCCTATTTTCTCCTATTACAACTATAATATCAGCGAACAACACACCATGGTACCTCAATCATGTTAATCATAATATACACTGGTTTCGAGGGTAGCTACCCGTGGGCCATTTATTATTCGACAACAACAAGTTGTTGAAAAACAAACAAACCGACAAAACGAATACAGTTAATAATAATCATCGCATAATATCGCGGCACTTTCGCTGGCGTCGGCGACGCGGTGTACAGCATGATCTCCGGGCGTCAAAAAGTTAGCAGCGTTGATGGTACGCGGGTGCGGATCAGTTCATCGAGTCCGGTCGTGCGGCACGTCCGGAGCCGGTAGCGTACATCCTCGACATTGTCACTTTGACAACGGAAAGAAAACTCAACGTATCATTAGTGGCGGGTCGTCGTAGGCCGTGCGGCACTTGCTGGACTTTGCACCGTATGGTATGGCACGCGGAGTTGGTCAGTCAAATACTCATACTAGGGCGACGTCTGAAAGGTGGCACGAGTCGCGAGGTATCGTGTATCACGAAGCAACGCGGAGCCCTGTAAATACCCCCCGTCAAGCCACCGGTCTACTTCATGACGGCCGGGAAGGTAACCGCGTAGCCTGATGGGAAAATAGATTACGTATAGTTATTTATACCGCGTATCGCAGTGAAGGCCGCAAAACTTACGCTGTATTTTAAGTGTTCTAAAGGGTGAGTGTGTGTATTCCAATTCCATGGGTTCCTCTAGTGGTCGCTGCTTCACCGCTTCTGATTTGGGTGTTGTTGCCGCTACTCAGGCTGGCACTAGTTAAGTGGGTGTGCAGTTGGTCCATGCTGTGTGGTCGGGTGGTATATAATGTGTGTGGAATGAGCGTTATGCGTCCCACGGAGTTATTAAAGCCGCAGCGTAGTTTTTCACTATCTGTGATAATAATTCGCGCGTATGTGGATCGCCTGCTATATCCAATTTTGGCAGATTGTGAGGGGTGCAGGGGCCGCTTGCTTTCCAGCACGCTGTAGTACGTCGTTTCGCGCCTAGCTGAATTGTACATGCAGAGTGTAATACCAAGAGACTTCCTGATCGGTCAGAAAATCATGCCCTAGATTCTAGGGCGTATTTTTAGAGCCTAGAAGTACGTAACAGTACAAATAATCCAAAATCATGGCCGTAAAATTAATTGTCAGATCTGCGATCTTCGCGGTAAAAGTAGGGGTGGGTGTTGTGTCACAATGATTTAAATTTTAAATTGAAGTTAAAACTCAAGTAAAAATACCCTAAAAGCCAAATTAACAAAAAAAAAAATTTATTTTACTTGAAAAAAATTTTTTTTCTTGGTTGCATTCCTAAGATTTGAGATAACTTAATAAATAAATATTTTTTTAAGTAACTTAAATATGTTAGAAATAAAATGTGTATTAAAAGTAATGTAACCTTAAATTATTCAGGAAAGGAAAAAACAAATTATACAAACCACAGCCACTATATCTGGCAGGAATTTTTTTTATAGTATGAAGTGTTCTTGAATCTAGTAATAAAGTGTATGATCGACAACCAACTGCATATAAGCTACTATCAATTTTCATGGCCATACAAACATTATCTTGACAAGATGATAATCTTCTTGAAAATTTCTTTTAACAAAATGTTTTTAGTAATTAATATTTAATTTTTTTAAAAATACAATTTTTACATTTACAGTTGCCATAGATTATTTTTTTTTCTTATTTTCTGACTTAATATGTTTTATCAATTAATTAAAAAGAAAATTTTCTATACATAGCTTAAAAGATTAGGTATACATTACTTATGCTGGATGTATGTTAGGATATAACAAAAAAAGTCTATCATTTGAAATTTTAATGAGAACCCTTTTAACTATATTATATTACATTAAAATAGACATTTTGAGATTTTAAAAAATGTTAACTGGTCTTTCAATGTGTTTTTAGTATTTTAACCAAAAATACCGTGAAAAACAAAAAATGGCCTCTGTTATTCAATTTTTGGTCAAAAATTATAATTAATATATGAGAATAGTTTAATTTTTACTGTAGAATACAATTTTTTTTTTCAAAAATTGATAGAGTAAATATCATAGCTAGCATCATTATATAGTATATTTCTTGTAGGTCTCAAGTAAGCTATTTTTGAAAATATTAATAAATAAAGCTAATTTTTAACAATAAAATTGAATAACAGAGGTCATTTTTTGTTTTTCACGGTATTTTTGGTTAAAATACTAAAAACATGTTGAGCAACTAGTAGCAATGGAACAATAAAAGTCTTATTAATACACAATTATTTTATAGTTATCCTGTAGATATGATATGCAAGAAGCAACTAATAAAATTACCATTAAACAAGATTTAAATACTTTATAATTGTAAGAAAATTAATCATAATATTTTTAAAGCATATAGAAATTATAAATGTAAATTGATCATTACCTGTCTAAACCTTTCAACATCCCAAATATGAACATAACCATTTAGAGATAAGGTGACCATTTCTTTTAAATTTTTATTAAATGTAATAGCACGGACTTTTTGTGCAGTTTTACAACTTCTGATTACTGTAGGGTTGAGAAATTGTGTTACTGGTTGTATGAGATCACCATCAGCATCATATTGTTCTTCATACCTATCCTGAACTTGCCATAAGGCTAATTTAGTATCACGTGATCCACTAACAAAAAACTCATCATCTATCCACTCAATATCAAAAATCCAATCTTTATGAGCACCCTTAACATTTTTCAAATATGGATAAAAATTAATAGATATATAATCTAAAAAAGATAAATTATAATTTTACCTCGGCTAATACAATAGGATCTAAAGTGGGTAACCTGTAAACAGCAATTTCATTTGAATTGTAAGCGCCTGTTGCAAGTAATGTTCTAGATGGATTAATTTTTAATGAATGAATGCCACTTTGTTGATCAACAGCTTCATCAACTCTTCCTTTAATAGATGGTATTTGATCAAGTTCATGTGATTTGACATTGTATACCATTAGCTAAATAAAAAAAAATGTATTTACTAAATTAAAAGTACAAATATTTCATAAAAAAATATACACACGTATAAGATATCCCAGCCAGTCCTGAAAAATTCTATAACTTTTCATCCACTAAATATAATTTGTAACTTTAATTTATATTTTTATTATTTATTTTTAATATAGTTTTTACAATTTTATAATATGTTGATACCATATTTTTTTATTATTTGCCTTTAATTAGAAAAAAATTAATTAAAATTCTTAATTTTAATTAAAAATTACGTTAAAAGCATATTTTTTTATTAGAGTCAAATAATGAACAATATGCTTTGACATAGTGTAATATTATAAAAAATTATTTAAAAAACACAGTAATAAAATATATTCAGTAGATCAAAAATTATAGAATTTGTCAGAACAGACTAAACCATGTATATTAACCTTAAAAGGCTTATTTGTTTTTCATTCATATAGTTTTTAAAATCCTAAACTCATCATTTTTCTTATAAATCAATTCCTAAAAAATTATATGAATTAAAAAACCAATTAACTATAGGAGAATAATAAATATTATTCATTAAAAATATTTAACGCCGACCCTATAAAAAAAAATCAGATTAAATATATCTCTATTTAATAATTTAAGACTAATGATATAAATAAAAATTATCATTAATGTGTTAAAGCTTTTGTGGATTTTCATGTTACTTAAAATTACATTCGTTAACATTTCAAGCAAAACTATTACTTATTTTAATGAGATATATAAATTTTTCTTTAAAAAAAATACTAACTTTGATACTATGAGACAATAAAAGCTATGGTTACCCTAACTTAAATTTCTGATATTTTAATACATTATAAGACAAACTTTTTGATTTATTACTTTAATAAAAATAATAATTATAACTTACTTTATTGCACTTGGTCCCAAAAACTATTTGTTTACTACTGAGCCATTGTGAACAGAATACTTTATTCATGGTTTTTAGAGGGATAGACCGTTCTTTGAATAAATCATGTGTAAGGATATGTCTTGTACCATGATTTTGATTAACAGTCCTATATTCTTTCATACCATATTCTCTATTTCTTATATAGTCAACAAAATTATAAGAAGAGTTTAACATGGTACATAATGACATAGTACTCTCTTCTTCTTCTTCAGAGTCCTCATAGCAGACAAAATCTTCAGGTTTATCCGATTTTCTAGATCGTTCCATTCTAGCCATTCGTAATTGAACACTACGTTCATCAAGGCGAGATTGATACGCACAAGGTGGCCGTGAACCAAAAATAGGCACACGCCGAGTTTGAGCCATTTTTTTAGAATGTAATTAAAAACGTCTTGATTCCTTGTATTTTTAATATTCAATACATTACAGAATATTTCTATCTATTAAAACTGTAATGGAAATGAAAATCATTTAAATATAAAATAAAGTTAACATACCAGTCATAAATAACTGAAAAAATTATAACTGTTAACAAATTAACAAAACATTAGTATGACAATCAAAATAATAACTTAAAAGAATTTTACCGATGTTGGTGATTTAATCACAATTTCTGACCAGCTAATCTCAAGGAAAACAGTCAAAGATAAGTTCTAGATTTTGATGATAAGTAGGTCAAAGTAGACCAACATGACAAACTATTACAGTTATGCCAACTACCAACGAAGTCTAATAATATAGTATAGAGTAAATCCTTAAACGTATAAATACATATAAAAATGTACACAAGTATTTATATGTATATGGGTAAATCTTACATTTTTAGCACATTGAGAACTAAGAGGTAAAATATAATACTATTAACGCCTTAAAGAAAATATCTTAATCTGTGATATTCTTTTACCATAGTTCATCAGTTTGTCTTAAAATTTGAAAATTTTCGGTCAAAATTAAATTTTTTTTTTATAATGAATAGTTTTTATTAACAAATATTTAAAAAATACAGATATTTGACACTTTTTTTTATTCATCCAAAATTGTTTACGCTATTCAGATAAGTGAAAACTTAGAAATTTTCCAAAGGGGTCCCAAATTTATGCATCGAAATACCTTTTCTTGGCTTGTCAACTATGTTGGTATACATTTTTTAGGTAAAACCGAGTATACAGTCTAGGAAGAGCTAATACACATATTTTATTTAATTCGCAATACGGGCGTTGATCCAAAAAAACAATTCATGATAGATTAGTTAAACAATTAAACATTAAAAATAAGATTATATACAGCAATATTAATGAAAACTATTAAGTACTAACAGCAAATAAGTAAAAACAAAGACACACAATACACTTATCATATTTAAATAGAATAAAACAGGAAAATTTAATATATATGCTCAAAAGCATTATTAAACCTTATTGAGGAATTACAAACACGAACTGTCAACTAAACATAGGCAATTATGATTATAAAAAAATGCCTAATAATAGGCAAATAGTGATTAAGGATAAGGTAATTTGTTGGAGTAAGATTGATTAGTAATAAAGATGTCATTTTTTGACATATTAGAATATTGAACGTTATGTCAATAGATTCGCCTTAAGTAATTAGGCGATCGGAGTATTGGAGCTATAGAAGACTCTTATAAATAATTTAGTCATCAGCGAAAAGAAGTATTTTTGAGTATTGAACTATATACTACAATATTGACCTGATCTATTGGCCAAAATAGAAAAGAAATGAGAAGAAAAATATAAATCTTGCGGAACTCGTCGTATTGCTAAAAATTACGTTTTTTTTTTTAGATTTTTCTGTTTTATGCTATACTAAAAACCCAACTCAGTGGGGACGTGGCATAATTGAGCCCAGTATAGATTTAATTTGACAGTTATTAAAATCACTATCATAAAAAACGCTTCGTTGCAAATCTGTTTAATTTTAAAAAATTGGTGGATTATTCCAAAAGCCATATGATCTTCTATTTCCTTATTTATATCCTGATTACAAATTTTATGATTTATAAATGTAATATATGTATACATATTTATTATAGCAATTAAATATATTGATATTTAATAATTTAGTATTGTAATTTTTACGGAAAAATTATAAAGCAACTAGTGATGGGCATTTTCGAATATTTTAAACTACCGAATAACTATTCGAATTGTTTTTGCACAACCGAATAGTGTGTTTTTAGCATAAACTATCGAATAGTTTTAAAATATATTCGAATGGGCTAGCGAATGGTTTCAAAAAATATTCGATTAGTTCTAATTAAAATTTTTATTAAGTACAATTAATTATAATAAGAAGATAATTAACGAATACTTAAAATAAATTATTATATAATTAATAACAGTAAAAAGTACCATTTTATTTATTTTTAGTTTGTGAGTCGTTGGTAAAAACTGATAAATATGGGTTGAAAATTAAAAAGCAGTTCTTTTTTCCGATGACTAATGATATATTTTCAGTTTTATCGGAAAGGTTTGTTCTATGCGCAACAGAAGTATTCGTAAATACTAAAGTCTTATTTTACACTTAATACCTTGTATACTGTTCTTAGTCTAGTATTACCTGCTCTTTTGTATTTATAGTTTTGCTGTTTTAATAACACTAACGATCTAAATAGGATTGTTTTAAAACTGTTTATTCAGGGTACTAAGATTATAAATAGGATACAATTAATAATAAAAAAAATTAGTGATGAGCATTTTCAAATATTTTAAACTATTGATTAATTATTCGAACTGTTTTTATACCACCGAATATTTTATTTTTAGTATAAACTATCAAATATTTAAAAAACTATTCGAATAGACTATCCAATATTTTTACTATTCGAATAGTTCGAATAGTGGACAACTATCGAATAGTTCGATAGTTATTATTCGATATTTTTCATCACTAAAAGTAACTATTACTTTTATGGCAAACGTATATAAAAGTTTAAGATTTGACGCAATACTTAAAAAAATAAATCGTTTGTTATTTATAAATAATTTATTTAAATAGATTTACTGGTCTACAAGGAATTTTCATCAGAGACGAAAATATACTTATCTAAACTCATTTTTGCGTCGATTTAAAATCTACAATTAGAGTTTCGCATATTGCCTAAATAATGACAAAATTGTTCTAATTAATATAACAAATATTTATGTTTGATTATTAGTTTACGTATGAATAATTAATAAATATATTTTAATAAAAAAAAGTTGAAAAAATTCTACTTTCTATACGCATTTTTAAGTTTTGAATCTCTCCCCTGTATAAAGGGAAATGGTCCGATTTAAAAAAAAGTATGTCACATAAAATAAGTATATAAATAGTACTTATAAAAAAATTTTAATCATCCATACATTTTTCAAAAAGTTATAGAAATATTAAGTTAAATATATAAAAAATAATTTTTTTACAAAAATTGTATTTTTGTTATTATCTTTGACGTCCGTTTTTACCATGAAAACAAAATAAAGTCTGAATTTTTTTTTTTCATATGAAAGTATAATACATAAGCTTTAATTTAAGATATATATAAAAGTATCAGTATTTCCAGAACACTTTCAAAAATGATATTGAATTGGTCATTTTAAAAAAAGTTATAGCACTTTTAAGCAGAAAAAATGTCGAAAATTAACGATTTTTAAATTTTTATCACAAAAATAGAATGTTTTTAACTACTGCAGCTATTTGCACATAAAAGATAAGTCGTCGATACAATTTTTTTTAATTTTATTTTATAGTACATGACATAAGCTTTAATTTGATACATGTTTAAAGGACGCAGTATTTCCAGAACATTTTCAAATGTTAGTTTTTGTAAAATAGTTGGCATTTTAAATCCCCCCTGTGAGCAGGTTAAGTGTTAGATTTTCAAAAAAATGATATAAAATGAAAGGGAAATATCTAAGGTTTCAATATAAAAAAAAATAATAATGATTTGTTAATATTTGATTAAGTTATGGTAGTTTTAAGAAAAAAAAAATGATGAAATTTACCGATTTTAAAAATTGTAATTTTTTTGGTAATTTAAGGAGAACGAGGGAAATTTAAAAAATTTTTGAGGGTAATGTATTCGACTAGATAAAATTTGTGATCTTTAATGTATCGATGAAAGAAATCGGTTCGATGAGAGCTGAGAAAAAGTGGCAACAGACACAAAAAAAAAACATCATAGTAAAATTCATACCTTTTCAGCTTCGCATCGAAGCTAAAACAGGTCTGAATGCATGAGCAGTATTTATGAGCTGATCTCTTTAACAACTGTAAGAATATTTATTACTATGTTCTTACCACTTATATTACACACGTTTTATTTCTATTTATTTAATTCGTAATACATATTAATTAGCATAGAGGGAGATGCTGATGTGACATTTCTACTCGTCTGTAGCCCGGAGCTACTGACATCGAACTAACAAAGGGCAGTTGTGTTTGAGTGGCCGTTATAGACATAGTTTTCAATATTATTACTTTCGTCTTATTTATATTATTTATAATTTAACTTGTTTTATTCAACGACCTGTCTATGGCCAATTGTCATCATAGCCAACCAACTCCGTCTCACTTGGATATACCTACTAACCAATTGTACTAGGATTCAGGTCAGACGTATTGTACATTACATATAACTTATATTTACTGAACATCTAAAATATAGCTTTACTTTGTCGTTGACATAAAACAATAGTCTAATTTTATTTAATAATCTATCCCCTGTAACTAAGGTACATGATTGCCTGTGTCTCCTTCAGGTAATTAAAACTCATTTAAGGAGATAGGGACGATATTTGGGCAGACGTCGGGTAGCTTCCGATTATTGGTTTTGACCAAGATCCTCAACTATTAAACAAGCCCCTAACACAACTAAAACTAAACTATCTAAAAACCAGAATAATTAGCTGAACAAGGCATGTATGGAGGGTAAGAGACAGGTATAATATGTAGTATCAGTGTGAAAACCTTATGGAACAAAACCATGAGGACGCCTAAGACAACGATGGAGGCTGAACCATAGAGAATCTTAAAATGTTAAACGACAAATATGAAAATATATAAATAATGAACAAAGATACATGAAGATAAAAAAAATATTTTATATATTTCTTATCTTTATCATAATGGTTATCGCATTGCTGTGTAATCAATTATGTGAAATTAAGTACTTTTGACCAATAATACGCCTCTATAACACTTTTATACATGAAGTCATAAGCCGTTCATATTAAATATATACGTTTTTTAGGGGAATATTCCCTATTCTCGGGAAACAATTCTTAGGCACATCACTAGATACATATTTTTATTAATTTACACAGGTCCGTCATTTGGGGAGTGTTGGGTGGGTATTTGTCAGTCTAATTTTAATGAAAAATAGGATTAGTTATTCACTCTTGCTAACCTAACCATATTTTGAGCTAGTCTTCTGTAACAAAAGAATATTCCTAAGAGTACATTAAACCTATTATCTTCGAAATCTTAACTAACATTTTGTTTGTTTTAATCGTCATGTTTCAAAAGTTACTATAATGTCTTCAAGTATATATTTTTTTGTAATAACTATGGAATTTTCAAACCCTAAATATATGAAATTCTTTAAAAAATTTAAAAGTCCAACTAACGTATTATTAGAGACATCAAAGTTGATATTTTTGCATTGAAAATTTTTGATCACGATGATTACTTTTACTAAAATATCATACTATGTGACTAAAATTACATAATTAAAGTGATTTAATGTACACAAATTGTTTTCAAATACGGGGCTCTTGGGAAAATTAATTTTATCCCCGCCACCACAGATGCAATATAACCATTTGATAGATGAACTTAATATTCCACAAACTCTAGTCATTCAATAGTATCCATATAATTTATAATTTAAATAAAAATTAAATCATTTAGTACTGATTTTAAATTACAAAAAAGAAATACTAAAACCAACTTGCTTTATTTAAGTTAAAAACATTATTTTAAGAATCAAATATAACATAAATCCAGTCTTAAAAATACATTCATACATATTAAGAAACACATTAGAATAATTATGACCATAATTACTATTTAAATAAGTAAAAATAAGTATACCTTATTATTATATAAATTTACACCATTAATTTTTCTTTATATTTAATTAAAAAATATTATATTATACATAGTTAATATGGCAGTTATAAAAGAAAATCTAAAACTAATGATAGAAAACTATAAATTCGAACAAACACAATTATTATCATGCTGAGAATTAGTAAAAAATAATATATATATTATATGACTACACAATATAATTCTTTTGAATATATATAAATATCAAAATTGAATACTAATTGTTAATAAATAAAAATTAGTAGACCAATACAGATGTTCTTTTTATTTGAGTTACTTCATTATTAAATGTTTTTGATTTTCATAAAGTAATTTTAGTTCTATAGGACTCACAAAATTATTATTTTTAATTAAATACTTATTAACTTAAGATTAAGTTTTTTTAATATAATAATTAAAAACAATTGTTTTTTTTAAACCAAATAAATTTCAGACTGTCAATCACATACAAACATCACAATAAAAATAATACGTATTTGGTATTTGAAAAAATATATTTAGAACAGGAACTAACTATACTATCCATAGAAAGTAAAATTAATATTAAAAATTTATACAGTCTTGTAATTAATTTTGTATTATTATTTATTAACCGTCAAAAACCAGGAACAAAAAAGATATAGAAATATTATCATTATTATTATAAATTAGCTTACAATTATTAAGATTAGAATATGATCGTATAATCCAAAACTTTTAGAATAGTAAAATAAAAAAAAATTTTATTATAAAAATATAAACTTATTATCACGTTTTTGGTTTGTAAAATTCTCTTTTTAATTGATTCAAATATACTTATTTTGATATATATTCATTTAATAATAATAGATATGATTTTGTTCTAGAACTATGATATACGCATTCATTCATAATAATTTATGATTAAGAATCAAATATTATAAGCTTTGTTTTTTATTTTTCAATATACATTTTTGAAAATAAATAAAATGTAATTTTAATCCAATATAATTATTTATCGACTTTTAATTAGATGGCACTTTTTCAAATAATTTATGGTGCATTCTTTAACAGTTAACATCATTACTTTTTAGAGGCTGCATACCTGTGGAATAAAATGTAAGATTATAATTTTTATTCTAGTGTACGTTATGAGTCTTTTGATAATAAATTTACCCATAAATTGAGGATAAACAGGATATGCACCTGGTGGTAAATGATGTGTTACTTCTTTTTTTGGTGTGTTTTCTACATCTGATTCATGGGATAATGTTACAGCAGCTATCATATTTGCATTATCATTATTATCTTCTATTATAACAATAACAATAGCATTTTTTAAAAACAATATTGAAAAAAATTACTAAATTATACTAGTTTTTAAAAAAAATAAAATCCCAAAATCAATCTTTTCAAATTTATATGATAAATTTTGTGTAGTAACATAATAATAATTATTATTCTTAATTAAATATTTTAAGATATTTTTAAGAAATAAAAGTTATTTAATTAGATTAGTAGTATTCAGATTTCAGAATTATATTATATTTTGAAGTTTAACTAAAGAAGTTTGTTAAAAGAATTTTCCTAATTATTTCAAGCACTATTTAAGTTAGCACAGGAATACATAGAATAAAACTAATTTAATGTTTCATTATTTATAAATTAATTAATACTTAAGTAATTTAGAAAAATATATTTTAAATTATTTTTAAAATTCTCTTTATTTGACAAATTAAAATTACTTAGAATTTATTTACCAGTTTAAAATAATAGTTAACATTTAAATAATCCGTAATGTAAATTTTGTTTTTAAAGAATATTTGGAAAGCTAAAAGGGCATACTTACCCTCAAAGAGACTATAGTTTTATCAAAAATTAATAAGTATTAATAGTTTTTATTAAATGTAGGAAATGTATTATCTGTATTAAGTGTAAAGTATAACAAAAATTTCAATTTTACAGATTTTATAAATGTATAAAGTCCTACCCGTGCCATATCAATTACTATTATATAAAATAAAAGTATTGGTTTATTTACCAAAAATAAATGGGTTATAATTAACTGGTATTTAACTATTTGTATGTATGTATACTAACTGTAAGCTGGCTGTCGGCGTTTCATCATACAATAACAAGGAATACAAATACAAATTACACAACATGTTAATAAGAGTCCAATAACCAATATTAAAAGTATTAATAGACTTGGTGTATATTTTTGAACGCTATAAATAAATTTAATATAAAATTAATATATCTATAAGTTTTTATAACACATTGTTACATTATAATCATTTTAGAACTATAATTATTTTTCAAGCGGTTCATACTTAAATTTGTTGACTTACTTGCTATAAAACTAAAATGAAAAAAAAAAAATATAGGCCTTTAACTTGTTTCTAATTTGCTGATTTAATTAACAAAATTTTAGTTTATATATTTTAAATAGTTGTTGTGAAAGAAGTTTACACGCAAAATATGTACGACAAGAAAAGCAGCCCAATTCAATGTTAGAAGATAGGTGCCCTTAACCTAATAGGAATACATAAAAATTTTCTTGAATTTAAGAAGAGAAAATATTAAAATTACCCCATTTATGGTTACACTAATGAAGAAAAAATTAAATAAAAAGTAATTACAGGTTATGAATACGATCAGTAACATTGCAGCATTCAACATTATCATAAGAATCATAACAACAAAACTTAGCATCAGCTGTTACTTCTGGCGAAGGGCATGTCAAAATAACAAATCTATTGATGATTCCATTAGATATTTTTTTTACTGTGCAGTTCTCACCTAAAATGAAGATAGATTAATAGAGTAAAATTTATTCACACTTTAAATATATAATTTTTTTAAACTTTTAACATTTCTGGTCTAATTAGTCATAATGGCTTCTAAAAAGAGGCTATAAATTATGTTATAATTATATTTCCATATACTATTTTGAATGATTTTCAAAATAAATTTTATTTTGTCAATAAAGTTCATCAATTAAACTGTGTATAGTCATCTTAATCAGAAAATAATGTAAATTGAATCAAACATATAAAATACTATCTTAAACTAATAACTTACATTGTACAAACGTGAATAACACAACTAAATATGTAACACAAAATATCCACTTATAACTTCTCATGATGCAGTAAATGCTGTATTGTTTTCCGATAATTTATTTTTAATACAATTTAATTCACTCAAAAGCAAATATTTAAGAAATATCACGAACGAAAATACTATTTTTAAACTTTACATATCGTTTTAATACAATAATTTACATAAAAATTATTATCTTATTAAATGTTTTTTACAGTAAATAAAATCAATTAAATATTTGAATGTATCATTAAATAATTTACTCTTTTGATATTTTACTCTACTGTTAGTTTTCTACTAATCTGTTAACATAATACTTTGTTAAGTTATGGGTGGCGTAGAAAATTGTATTATACAACAGTAAACAGCTTCTATACTTCAAACTGTAGATAAAAATAAACAAGATCAAGATTAAATAGTATGATGATAGTTTTTTAATGTAAATTTACTGCTGTACTATCAGACAACTGTTGTTATAGTAATGTAACTAGCGCTCTTTCCTAATCTAATTCAAAACAACGGCGAATAATAACACAAGTATGGTGTTTTAGTACACAAAATGAACACCAACTGCGTTTATATCGCTAAAGGTCTAACCATGTCAATAATATACGATTTCATTTTATCAAAGTTGCTTATTCAATAAGTTTCTTTTTAAAGAAACTTAAAGCTACTCAGATTTATCATACGACAAAAATATCAACTAATATTTATGTATCTAATTATAATGAAAAATGAGTTATTACATTTATTGCCATCATCAAAAATAAAAGTTTTTTCTAACATCTAGCATAATATGCTAGGTCTGTCTGTTAATGAGCTATAGTTTGTGACAATCAGTCAATTCCATATGTTTTTATTTAGTGATAATATAATTATACGTGTTATCATTGATTAAACATTCTTCTATAAACTACAAATTTAGTAAATATAAAAAATGAGTTTGAAAGCGTCAAAATAGCCATTCCTATTTATAATGTAAGAAGTGAGCGACGTTAAAACTGTTGTGTTAAGAACCATTATTATTTTTAATTTGGGCGTATACACCAAAAAACTATGATAATTGAAAATACATATTTGTCTTAAGATCAATATAACACTTATTTATAAAAAAGAAAATTTATTTATAATCTATAATATTACAAGTTACATTATTTTAAAAATAACACGAAATTTTTTTCTGGCTCTTCTAAAAAATATGAATTTTTTCGCATACAGCAAATACCCTTTTAATCAATGATATTGTAATAAAAATATATATATCTTTTGAAATAGTTAATATTTAAAAACTTCAAATAGATTTTACACAGTTAGAGATAAGATGAAGCTGTTTAAGAAAGACACCTTCATCTTTTACAATGGCTGTTCAGGTAAACGAATTCAAACTTTTTTTTTGTTGATCCCGTTCAAATTAAAAAATAACATTCATCAATCAGGTCAATCAATCTTGGATGGCCATTGTAGTAAGACAGTATTTAACTGAAAAGAAATATAAGATTTGAAGTAGCCTAAGTACTAAATTAATATAATTAGATTATGGGTTCTAATTATTGATCAAAGTAATTATAAAGTTTATAGTTAATTACAAATTACTAGAGCTATATTTATAAAACTACTATTATCACGACTCACTTTTCCTATCCATTTATTCAAATATAAATGTTCTTAACTGATAAGTTTATGATACAATTAAGTTTCTTTAATTTGAACGGATAAGAAAAGAATAGAAAAATTTATAGATTCGATTTAAAAATTAAGCTCATAAATCTTGATTTTACAATATTCAATGTAAAATAAAATTAATCATCAATATTATTTCAAGTAAATTAGCCGTATTATATAGGTTATCCTAGTGATAAGTAGTTCACCGTAAAACAACAATTCAACAGTTCAAAGAACAAACTCAACTAATTAGTACTAATGTATACAGTCCTATTAAATTAGTTATTGTCCATTAGTTTTGAATTTTTTAATATAATCATTTGTTTGAAGATCAGTGTTTAAAATTGTGTTCAATAAGCATTTGTTGTATAAATTTTGTTATTTTTTAAACATTAATATGACGTTAAAGTTTTGTGCGAATTTATCATTTATGTATCAGGAAGCAGGTAGTCTTCTTGAAAGATATAGTTGGGCTGCAAAATCCGGATTTCGTTATGTTGAATGTGCTTTTCCATATTCTGAACCATTGGAAAACGTAGTTCAGGCAAAAAATGACGCAAACGTTAAACAAATAATTATAAATACTCCTAAAGGGGAAGACGAAGAATTAGGAATTGCAGCCATTCCAAATGCAGAAGAACGTTTTCAATCATATGTAAATACAGCAGTATCATATGCACAGGCATTAAATTGTAATAAAATACATGTAATGGCTGGTATTGTTCCAAACCCCAATGATATTAATCATCAAACATATGAACAAAACTTAAAATATGCTTCAAAAATTTTTGAAAAAAATGGTATAGTTGGATTAATTGAACCAATAAATAAGTATTCAGCTCCTGGATATTATTTGAATTCTTATGAACGAGCTATTGAAGTAATAAATAAAATCTGTAGTCCCAATCTAAAATTGCAATTGGATATATTTCATTTGCAACAAATTAAAGGTGACTTAACAAATAATATCAAATATCTCTTGCCTTACACAGGACATATACAAATAGCCCAAGTGCCAAATCGTAATGAACCAAATACTCAAGGAGAAATTGACTATGACTATATTTTAAATTTGTTGGGAAATCTTGGATATGAAGGATGGATTGGTTTGGAATACAACCCAAAGACTAATACAGATGACGGTTTGGTATGGTTACAACAGCTTAAAATAGATATACAAATTTGATGCAATACAATTTTTATTATTCAGTCACAATTTAAAAGAAAAAAAAACTAAAACTTATTCTACAATCCAGAGCATATTGACACCAGATTTTCCTAGGTTAACACTCTCTAACATTCCATTTTCAGTAGTTTTAATATAATGTAGAAATAATAGTATTGTATAAAATAAATTATTGCGACCCTGTAAATAAAATTTAATTGTTTAATAAAAAAGTAAATAAAGTATGACAAAATATAAATTACTTTTGGAAAGTTGTATGTATCTTTTACTATTTTTAAACAATAATGTGGAGGACAACTGGATTGCTGATAAATTATAATTTGTTTATCATTAGCTTTAATTTTCTCTGGATATTTAACAAAATGTTGAATTGAAAATGGTTTGTTGCCTTTAAGACGTGTCAGTGGAGAGAGTTGCGAATCAAGATAAGTTGCTAATAAATGCATAACCAACTAAAATTTAAAAGACAATTTTTTTATTTTGATAATGATATTTAATAACTTTTGAACTTATTTAATTTTAAATTCAATTTTTTTGAGTAATTAAATAATTTAAGTTGTATTAAGTTACTTGAGGGCAAAATGCATGTTTATGATGATAAACTTATAATGATTTTTTAATGTAGCTAAAAAAAAATTACACCCAACTAGCTTTGCCCATATTTACAATATCATACCTAACTACTTAAAAAGAAAAAAAATAGACAACCTTAAATGTTTTGGGTTTTTTTTTTTGTATTTTTAGACTTAAATCATATTTTTTATTAATATAAAAAATAAATTATTATTATTATTTAATTTATCTAAAATTTTAAAAGACCATTCTATATATTAAAATTCTGTAAATCATAAGCAAAACTATGACCCACATAAACTAGTCCATAGCCTAACCTAATATTTAGGACTATTCAGATAATAAGAGAAAACTTGACCAGGCATGACTACTGGAATAATGTTACGAAAGCATAAACTGTACAGTACACAATCCTCATCCTTATTTCATTGAAACAAAAATAGTACAATGCTAAGTATCACAAAAAAAATCAAAAGCACGGTGTGTATGTGGCATAGTTGGGGCAAGTAAACGCTTTGATGCATTTCTTATGATAATTTTCAATTTTAAAAAATTAGTGGGTTTGTACATAGAAGATAAGTCAGGACAAATTTTTTTTTTTTTTAATTTATAGTACAAAATAGAAGCTTTAATTTAGAAAACCCAGCACAGGGGGTTTGCGGCACAGTGATGACTTGTCATAGTTGGATTAAATATAATGATATTTGACAGTGATTGAAATCACTCTCATAAAAAACGCTTCGATGCAAATCTTTAGATAGTGTTTAATTTTAAAAAATTAGTGGATTATTACAAAAGTTTCATGATTTCCTATTTCATTATTTATATCCTGATTACAAGTTTTATGATTTATAAGTGTAGTATATGAATAAATAAATATTTATAATATATAAAGGAAAATGGTTTTATTAAAAAAAAAAAGAAGTATATAAATAGTATTTATCATAAAAAAATTGTATTAATCCATATATTTTTTAAAAAGTTAAAAATATAAAATCGAGAATCTTCACATCAAAATAGCAATTGGTAGCCATTTTCACCGTAAAGACAAAATAAAGTCCAAACATTTTTTTTTCTATAAAAATTTTCAAACAGTAAAGTTGAAAATATTGAATTGTGTGAAAAAAAAAAGTTACTACTTTCAATCCACCCTGTGGGGAGAAGGTAAAGAGTCAGGTTTTAAAAAAATGTATATCAAATAAAAGGGAAATACCTTAAGTTTCTCTATAAAAAAAAGAACTATTTGTATGCGTTTATTTTTTAACATTAGGGCAGTTTCAAAAAAAAAAAAAAAAAAGTCAAAATTTAGTGATTTTAAAAATTGTAATTTTTTGGGATTTCTTCAGGAAACAAGGGAAATTTCTTTAATTTTTGAGGGCAGTTTTCAACTAGAAAAAAAAAAAAAAAAAAAATATTATAATTAGGAGTTAAAATATTAGGAAAAAAAAATTTGTAAATAAAAATGATTTAAGTGATATGATCACTTCCGAAAAGAAAACTGACACAAATTACACTTATCTTTCTTTTCCTTCCTATTAATTAATTGTTAATAACTTAATTAAATTTTCTACAAATATGAGGGCATATTTTTTGTGTCAGGGGAGTATGGTAAATAGCTGAAAATGTATTAAACAAACTCATATTAGTATAGTATAAGGCTTTTAACACTGTAGTAAGGAATTATAAATTCTTAAGTAAAATATTAATGTCGCATAAAGGAAAAAAACAGGGTAAACCAATTAACAATGATGGGAACAACAATATATAGAATAAAATGTGAGAAGAAGAATTGGGCGTTTTTAACAAGGAAAATCTTGTTTTTAGGCAGAACAATTGAACACGTGAAATTCTGTATTTCATATGAAATTGATTTTATCTTATCATATTTTTGTACTATATTTAATTTTTGTGTTTCCTACATTTTTCAAATAAAGTAGAACTGTTTGAAACTTACAATTGGGTTAAATACTTTATATATGCTATGTTTCTAAAATTGTGTGTGTGTGTGTACGGTTAAAGTCAAGGTTAAACTACTGGTCCTTTAGTCAGTTTTAACAGTTAATGTGCTACTGGCTAGTTTTTTAGATTAACGGTTTTTTTGTGGGTTTTGTAAAAATGTAGTTATGGTATTGGCTGAAAAAAATTCACCTTTTAGTCTGCTACTTTTAAACTAGACAGTGTTGACAGATCTAAAAACTAAAACTGATTTATTAAATGGAAGGATTGGGGCTGATCAGTGTACCCAACAGGTGGACTCAAAAAGAGCCAAAACAACGAGTTTGACATTGAAAGTGTCAACTAAATGTGTACTTATTGTTTTTTCTATGTCGCAGTCTTACAGACGTATGGAATAATGTGGTCCAAAACTTTAATAATTATTTTAAAAAACATAACGTAAAACTTTTGTTGGATCAAAAATTATAAGATTTTTTAAACATCTAAGACCATTCTGTACATAATATACTGGATAGAAATATGATATTTATTTATGTAATCAATTTCATTATTTTTCTAAACCCTTTTATAATAATGCTAAAAGTACAACTTGGCATTTTTATTTCATTAAACATTATACTTTATGATACTAATTAAAAACTAGTACATAAATTAATTTGAAAAATGTCATAATTTATAAAAGATCAAAGAAGAATATTTATAGGACTAGAAATTTAAATAATAATATTATTAGATAAATTTCATAACTTAAGCAAAAACAAAGAATTTTTGCTAAATATTTCCAGTTGATTACCTTTTGTTCTGTAATAACTCCAAAAATCTAATAAGTAAATTCAGCATATACCCTTACTGGTATTCACCAAATTTATTATGATGCCTATTTCATTGGTAAAACAATTATAGAAAGTTATAAATAAATTAGTTATTAATTAATTTAAAAGTTATACAAAGTATAATACATGATATATTAAATGAATATATGATGGTATCTTACTGCAGAATCTGATGGTAACTCAGAATTCCACTCTTTCCCATTAAATGATCCACCAGAATTCCAACGGTACTCAGTTAGACAAGATCCTTTAGATAACTCTAAATAATTATAAATATTTTTAAATATATAGAATAAAAATGTTCTATATACAATTAATAGTAAAATATTTACCCTTGATTCGTTGTGCAACATATTCTTGATTGGATGATATTTCAAAATATGGAATAATGTGTAGTAAACTTGGAATAGTGTGGACAACTTGAACTGTATTGGCTGTTTTCTTAAGTCTTTCTAAACCAACATTTCCAATAGATACATCAACAAAACCTTGATTGTACAAGGCTCTATCGACATTGTCTATTTCTTTTACTAAACGTGCAACAATTGTTTGTGATATCCACTAAAATAAATAAGAAAATGGTAGAATTAAGCATTTTACATGACATAAATTTACTAAATCAACATCAAGTTTCTTAGCAAAAAAAATTACTTTAAGAATGGTTTTGATGAGTAAGTAGTAGAAGTAATTAGAAAAAGTAATATAATTATAGTCATACAATAAATTTTTGAGGAAAAAATGTTAAATTTAGTATGTGCCTATACAACAAAAGTAGGATGTGATGAAATAAACAAGAAAGTGTTTTGAATAGAGGTGGATGATGTGATGCAAGAAATAACTGGTAATGAGGATACAGTGATAGGTGGAAATATAAATAGACTGTAGGTAATGAGAAGAGAAGATATGAAAGAGTAATGTATAGAGGGTATTGTTTCAGTAAGAAGAATGAAGCTGGAAAAATAATGTTGGATTTCACAGTATCGTATGATTTTGCTGTGTTTAATACTTATTTTAAAAAGGGAGCGTACAACACGTAAAAGATTGTAAAGTTATCCCAGGCAAGAGTGCAACATACTACGTTCAATACTTTTTCCTTAAAAATTAATTTTATGACTATAATTCTGTCTCTTTTCTTAAATACTTCTACTACTTTTCATCTCCTCATTTATTATTATTCCTATACCATTCTTTGTATTGGTCTTACCCAAGTATATTATTTTATAACCTATTTACCTTGCTTTCTCTCCTTTCCACTTAGTTTCCTGCACACAACAAATGTTAACTTTTTTCATTTTCAATACTTCTACTAACTCTCTACTTCTACCAATTAATGTTCCAACATTCCACGTATTATCTTACTTTGTATTTATCATACTTCCTTATACATGAATTAAGCCTACATTTTAGTAATGCAATCCCTGCACTGTTGATACTACAAACGTTAGGTAGGCCAGTACACATGACTGGTATCAAGCACTTATTCTTTTAGACCTTCTTCGTCTCTAACTACTTCATTTTCTCTTACATGTTATTTCCACATACATCTCAGACGGGACAAAATGCTTAAGTTCAGGATTTCTCATACTTTTTGACAAAATTTTACATTGGCTGTCGACCTGATGCAATCTATTCAATTGTTTCTTGTGACTAGCAGAAGACCCGTAGAAGTATTCATATTCCTCACCCCAAGGGATATTAAAAAAGAAAATATAATTAAAAATTTTTTTTGGCTGCAAAATTTTAAAAATAATTCACAATAATAAGTAGAAAATCTTTATCATGTCATTCATGCATCAATATTATTTACTTAACATTTTGAATTATCATAAGATAATTTTATTTATATCATAATATCAAATGCTACCACACAAAAAAAAAAAAAAATACAAATACAAATAACACCAGAAAACTTTCATAAAAAATTCAATAAAACCTTGATAAAATATGTTTTATTTGAATATTAAACAAATTAACTAAAAAGAAATTTATTAATTATTTAAATGAAAGAATAGATTCCTTGCAAAAATAGAAGAAAAAATAATTTTTTTATTTATAAAAAAGGATTTGAATTAATATCTTCTTTTAAGGAATGTTCTGAGCATGGTTATAAATTTAAAAAAAAACTACTTTGATTATTGAATCATTTTTTATGATTATATTGATAATACATACAGTTCTTAGGCTTATTGTCCATCTTTCAACTTTATTGTTGTCAACCTTAAATTTTCGCCATACTTCTGAAGCCATAGCTACAGTTGATGTACTTTCATTTAAATCTAATTTAGATTGCTCCGCTAAAAACAATTTTATTTCAATCAAATTTTATATTGAAAATATACTAGAAAATAAAGAAAATGACAATGGTAATGCATTGAAAAAAATGAGCTCATAACAAAATTCTAATTTATGGAAGATTTTGATACTAAATCACCAATTACAAAATTGTTGGTTTAAAATAAATTTAATCATAAAACTATTTTTAATTGTGAAATATTATTTGCTTTAATAAACATTTTATCAGGCAAACAATTGAATTGTTTAATTCTTTTAAACAGAAAATGACTTATTAAATTTAATGTGAAATCAAATAAATAAGTCAAACAAAATAATAAGCATAAAATATTATTTATAACAAACTAAAGCTTAATAAATAATAAAATAAAACAGAAGAGTGATCTTAATTTTCTGAACACATTAAGAGAAGTTTTAAAGTTAGTTTAATAAAGAAATAGAATTTAATTAGGAATTTAAAATTTTAAAATATTGATTATAATTAAAATATTTAACGGGAGAAACCACAAAAATTTTCTTAATAAAAAACTGCTAATATGTATTTTGATATCTGATGTTTTCAAGTTAACTTCAAGGGGGAGGGTGAATATAAAATATTATTAATAATTTATTTGAAAATAACTGATGCACATAGTGTTTTTATTTGGTGCTCTAGTTTCAAAGACAAAAATTTGTTTGGAATGTGCCCAACTTTATTTTTATCTATTATTTGATGTTACCTACCTGTATGAGATTAGAAATAATTTGTGTTAATATTTATAATATGATTAATAATACAATATAAATCTAATAGTATTAAATGAAAAAAATACTTTTTATTAAGAAATTTTTTTTATCAATTGTAATTAAGTTAATTCCAACTTGTATAAATTTTTTAACCTGAAAATACAATAATGAACAAGCAGCATTACAATAAATTATAGAAAGTTAAGCAACAAAATATAATACAATTTCATTAAAAAGAACTCAGTTTAGCAATGGCTACATCTTTTAAATGAATATAAAAAAACATGAAAAATTATGTGTGTGCTTATTATAGTTATGCACATTATTATTTTTTTATTCAAAAAATTGTATGTGGGGCGATTTCCTCCATTTCCCTTTACAGGGATGTGCCTAGTTACACACAACTGATAATAATAACATAATTGTTGAAATACATATTTAAAATTTTAAATATTTTTAATCATAATTCATTTTTTAACAAACAATTTTTATAATATTAACAATTAAAAAAGGAATTTTTAGGATAATAAGTCATGGTAACTTATACAAATAATTGTTGAATTAATAATCAAAGCTATTAGAAGAAAAAAAATGAAAAGAATACATAAAAATAAAATTAAAAGTTAGCTAATATTAAGAATACATACGAGATGAAGCCACTTGATATATAGAATTCTGTAACATTGATGAAATAGAAGTATTTGAACAGCCAGAACGTTCCCAAAGTGACATACTTTGTTGCTCTGAATCACGTTCTTGTAAAAAAACAATTGTAATTGTCAGTTAATTTCTAATATATTTAAAATTTAGGTTTAGTAATAATATACCATTTAATGAAAAACTATTTTTACTATCATAATCTTTAAGGTATTGTTCTAAGGTAACCATATCTTCAATTGTATCATTATTTGTATTACTAATGTAAGAAATTCCATTTCGGCTCTGTTTTTCCGGAATTAATTTGTCTATAAGTTGTGATTTATAACATAAAAAGTATTTAGTTTATTTAATATAAAAATACAAATATCTACACACCAGGGGAAATTTGAAATTGAGGATTATTCCAATTGCTCAAAGTACAATTTATTGGAGTACTTGTAGTGGCTGGAGGTGTAATTTTGTTTGTCAAAGCATGAGATGTTTTAACTCTAATATAAGCTATAATTTTAGATAATATATAATTTAATTTACTTGTTTTAATTATAAAATATTATATGTATACTTACAATTTGATAGACCTAAAGTTTGAAACTGTTCAGGTGCTAAATCTAGAGTGTCAGTAGTTATCCAAAGCTTAATAAGACTAAATAAGTGATATAAGAGACTTGTACTCAATAATATTGATGTCAATGATTCAACGAGCCGCCACCAAGGTGTATACCATGAATAAGGCAAAACTATTCTATATGTGAATAAATTAAAAATAAAATAATAAGCTACCATTTTTATAGTTTTAATTAAATCTTAAAATTGTAATTATATATATATATATATGTAATAGATACAAAAATAAAGAATTACAATAACTTACAGATCATAGAAAATCATTGATAGTACAACTATATTGATACTGCCCCAAATAAAATGTTGTTTCATTTTGTTTACAGCTATAGTCAATTGAATAGCATCCTTAACAAGATCATTTTTCACTTGATGAATAGTTTTGTAGTTTGTGGGTGTCCTTAAACAGACAAAACTTTAAATATTTAATAAAACAACTGGAATATTAAACAAACCTCATGATTTATAGTCAAACTAATATAGAATTTAAATTTTTAAATGAAAAAATTTTATGTACTAAAAGTTACTAGGAACAAAATAAATAAAAATTCTTGAGATAAAAGGGCTAAGTTTATCGATAAACTTTTTTTTACTGTAATGCTATGATGCTACCAAAAATTGGTAATCAGTAATTTGCAAGCACCAAATATATAAAATTCAAGACGCATAATTTTTAAACTGTATATTAGCTCAACTTTGTTCAAATATAGAAGTCATTGTGAATTATGAATCTGTGTAAAACTGAATCAATTAAAAATATTATTAAAAACAAATAAAAAAGTACCACACATTCAAAATATTTTTACAAGAACTAGAATTAAAGTAATAAGTAAATGATGAAGCAAAATACGAATTCAATTTTTTGTAAAACTCGTGGGTTACTAGTTTCAAGCGCACTGTAATACTTAATAAAATATATTAAAATAACGAACGTTTTGTGATAATTTATTCATATTGGGTGATAACAGATATTTAAACATTTTATACCGCGGTAGAGTTATGTTATATCCTTGACGACTATTATAATCAGAATTTTACAACCGTTACGGTTATCAAATAATATAGTAACAAAATTTATAATAGTAAATTTAATTTCATATTTATACATGTACTATGACAAGATTCTGACGTACTCAGATTAATTAATTTTTTTTATAAAATAAGTATGTTTCTAATTTATTATTTCATTTTTATTATCTGGACAAATAATACAAATGAATAATGAAATTGGAAAAACTGTACATAGTATTTGCGAAGTTAATATAGATGGGAAAATGTCATTGGTTAGCTTATATGATGATTTACCACATTTTGAATACGACGAAACTATTGACAAAGTAAGTATTCTGGTAAATTAATTTACAAATTGCTTATAAATTATAAAAATAATGTTTATGTTTTTTTACAGCTTAAAGAGTCTAATATTAAATGTCAAAATATTATTAAAGAGTTGAAAGATAAAATAAAAAATCTAGAAGATGAAAAATTACATATGAAAACTATTAACTCAATATTGTCAAAGAATATAACTTCATTGTACAAAACTGCTTGTAGTGAAATTCGTAGAAAAGATAATATGATTAGTGAATTGCGTATAAGGTTAGTTATGAATATTATTTTTATTCTCTTAAGAATGTTTACATTTTTTTTTTTGTTTTAGATCTCCAGTAATATCACATACACTTCCAAATTTTTATCAAAAATCTGTAACCCAAAGTCATGTATGTAATTCTTCTGAAAAGACAGATAAATCTAAAATTGAAATAGAAACACCAAAAGTGTTTAAAGAAAATAAAGATCTCTGTTCAAATTCAGTAACAATTATTCCAAATAAAGATATACCAAAAACTATTTACTATAAAAGGTTATGTCAAAAATTAATTCAAAATAACACTAAAGATACCTTAAAAAATGTTGCTAGTCAGAATTCTACATTAGTAGAGAAAATTGATAATAATTATAATATAAAAAAACCACACATGATACAAGAAGATGATCTTATAACTACTAATACAAACATAACTTTGGAAGAATTCTCTATGTCTACTGATGCATCAAAAGCAAACCCTAATTCAACTTTGGTTATTTGTGAATCTGATGTTACCCATAGTGATGGAGAAATTAATACTTCTGTAGTTAGTTCTAGTTTTACTTCTGAAAATGGAAAACAAAATACATCAGAATCATTTTTTTCAAAATTAAAACAACCAATCAGATCAAAAAATAAAATAGTTATAACTCCAGCAACAATTGGAGTTAAAAACAGTTGTGAAACTATTAAATATGATGAAAAAGATCAATTGCCATTAGAAACCCTCAAAAATACAAATACTGAATTGAATATTTTAAAAAATGATAAACATTTGTATGACACTTATAGAAATTCAAGTATAGATGATAAATCAATAACAAATAGAAACTTTACCTCTCCTAGTAAAACAAATATTTCTGAAATATCTAATACACCAAACCTTGTTGAAAATCAAATACCATCTATAAATATTGAGGTTGAACAAGTTCCTATATTCCGAAAAAGAACTGTTAGAGTTAAAAATGTTTTTTCTCCAGGATCTATAAAATCAGAGTCTACACTAATTACACCTGACTCAAGTCAATCTGTTGTTCACAAAACATCAAATATGAAATATTTATCAGTTGTAAATGACTCTAATTCAGATTTATCTGATTCTTCATTGAAAAACTCTGCTGCTAGAAAGAAGTATACAATTGAAAATAAATTAAACAAAGAAAAATTACATGGAGATTTGAAAATTACCAAACTATTACAATATTCTGTTAACAAATTAAGCACTTCTAATGATGTAATTGATTTGAAGAAAATTAGTGAACCATCAATTAACATTGAAGTAGAGCAAGGTAGGAATTTCAAAAGATTTAAAAGAAAAGTTATTGTCTGCCATAACAATAATAATTTAAATGAAAAAAATCAAGATATTAAAAAAGGAAGACGAGTAAAATTGATTACGATTCAAGATCACTGTTCTAAAACTCTAACTAGCTTTAATGGTGCTAAAAAAACAGAGATTGATGTTAGTAAAAATTTAGTACAATCAGGAAAAGTAGTTGAGAGTAGTAGTCATTTTTATGTTCCACAATTAAAAAGAAAAAGAACAATTTGTTTTGGGAATGCTGATATGTAATCTAAATATTTTATGATTGTTTTTCATGATTTTAAATTATAATTAATTTTGAATAGCCACATTTATACTATCTAAGAGTATTTATCTAACTTATATATTGATTGTTTTAACTAAAGAAAGTTTGTTATTTATAATCATAAACAAAAATAATGTTTATTCTGCTTTTGCATCTTTAAAAAGGTATAGTAAAAATCCTGTAAAATCTTATAAATAAAACTGTATAATGTTGACTAATATGCTCTTTGCCATTATACTAGTTATTATTGTAATTTAAATTTTTTTACATATCATTATGTAATTATTTAATAAATATCCATAAAATAAATTATGATTATGCCAACTTTAGCTTTTTGATCATTATAGAAAAGTTCTATAGTAGTTACTATTTATCTAACAATTACCATTAGTTTATAAATAATGATCCTTTTTTCAATCAATAATTATGTTTAAACTAGTATTAATATGTATTCATTGTTTTATGTAGTGTCATCTATCTCAGTTGTATACATTAGGGTTTGTCAACGATATATTTTTTGATTTCGATATCGTACTTAATTTCAGCAAAATCGAAAAAAAAATTAAATTAAATATTTAAATATTTTTACGTTTTTAACACGCTTATATTTTTATTTTCAAGAATACTGTTAAGTTACTATTGTTGTAAAAATTAGACTATAGTATACAAACCAAATCAGGTAATGATATCAATAACAAAAATTGAATAGAAAAATATTTTGAGTCTTATCTCAATTCAATATTTCATAATATATTTTAATACAAAATTGTTTACAGGTTATCACAAACTGTTTTTATCCTTATATCAAATAATATATATTTCATAACAAAGTAACCAAAATTCAATTAGTTTATTTAATTTTTTTTCGATTATCGCGATAATTTAAAAATAATTGATAACGTGGGAAAAATTAAAAAAATCGACAATATCTGTATCATTGACGAACTCTAGTATTTATACAACCGAGTTATATAAATTAAGCATATATAAAACTAAAATATGTTAATTTAATTATTTTTTTTAAACAAAAATAGTCAGGGTCGGATTAAGACTTCTATTGGCCCTAGGCGGTACATAGAGGTGGACCCCTTATAGAAAATATCACTATAATAAATAAAATGATGAGCAAAGAAAGAAACTAGAAAAACTCTCTAATCATGACTAGTCTAGTAAAATTCGAGATAGGCCTCGTGGGATTTTCCTCTATTTAATCCGGCCCTGAATAGTCTTGTAATCAAATTAGATTTAATTTAAAAATTGTGTTAGGTCAATTGTTACTAAATCTTATTGAGAGCAATTTCTCGATTGTATTAATTGTAGGTAACATTCTAATTTGCTTCTATAAATATACTTTTTTTTTTTACTAATCCAATCATTTTTATTTTCAGAATCGATATTCTTTAAATATTGGTGTCCACTGGGCATCCAGCGGGCAGTTCAAATTCCAATTTTACAGGTCCAATAATTACTTTTATTGTAATGATATAGAGTAGTGATTATTAATCCTAACAAATACTATAACATACAATTAAAACACTTAAATATGTTATTATTTAGTTATTTATGATACATGTTGTATATCTATAGTGTTGACTTAATCTGAAAACAAATTATTATCCGAGATAATGAATTGTGAGTTATCCAAGCTGATAAGCTTTTGATAAGTATAATATGCTTGTACACACTTCAGAACTTAGAAATGAAATAGGAAAATTAATAGTTATCATTCATTTGTTAGTAATTATGTTACAGTAAAACATTATTTTTAGTATTACTCAACTTATATTACCTTTAGAATAACTTAGGGTAATATAAATATATTTTGTAGTAATAAAAAGGTGATGTTTATATTATTTTAATGTGTATTGTACTATGTTCTATTATTTTAAATAGCTTAAATTTTTCTCATTTTTATATAGATTGATCATTAGTGGGAAATATGATAACAAATCAAACTGTTATCCTTCTTGATATTGAAGGCACTATTACACCAATGAATTTTGTAAAAGATGTGTTATTTCCTTATATAACCAGTGTTCTTGAGGATTATATTAACACTAATTGGCACGAAAAAGAATTCAAAGAAGATTTAGAACTTTTAAAACAACAGGCACAATTTGACTTAAGTCTACCAGGTTTTGTACCCATTGAGAATGACAAAGGGAATATTCAGAAAGAATCAATAAAAAATAACATTTTATGGCAAATGAAAAATGATCGAAAAACTACTGCATTAAAGCAGTTACAGGGTCATATTTGGAAGTATGGCTATGAAAGTAATAATTTAGTTGGAGATATATTTTCGGATGTTCCTCCAGTTTTGAGTGAATTGATAGACAAAGGAAAAAAAATTTACACTTATTCATCAGGCAGTACAGAAGCTCAAAAATATTTATTTCAGTACTCTTGTTGGGGTAATATATCTTCTTTATTTACTAAGTATTTTGATACTAAAATTGGATCCAAACAAGAAGAAACAAGTTATCAAAATATTGCAAAAGAAATTGGTGTAAAATGTGATGACATTTTATTTCTTACAGATGTTGTAGAAGAAGCTGAAGCAGCTAATAGAGCTGGTTGTAATGTTGTTATTTTAATTAGACCTGGCAATTCACTTCAAGATCCTGAAAAAATATCTAAATTTATGACTATGAAAACATTAGATCCCTTAGTAGAAGATTAATTTAAAATTAATTGGATTAAGTTTTAAACTTAACTATATTGTCATATGAATTTAGATATATTTGATAATATATATATATATATAGATGTAAAAATATTCAAGTTTTTATGTAACAATATGATACTCGGTATATTTATATAATTTTTTTTAAAATTATACTTAAGTTAATAATAAAGTATTCAATTTCAAAAATTAAACTTGTCTATTACAGTTTTATACTCATTCAACAACTATTTCATTTAACTTCTTTTCCAATTAATTGTTGACGCATGTTTATTAATATTATTTTTGTTTAAAAATTGTTTTTTTTAATATATCTCACTGAAAGTCATTAATAGTAAAAGTTAATCAAATACATTTTATGATAAATGTAAATGACATTGTTCATCATATAACTCGGTTAAAAAAATAAATGTCCTGGAAGCTTTTTAATTTTTTATAAATGTTCTCGTATTTACTACAAGGCAAATACTAGAGATGCTCAACAAATCTTAATCACATTTTTGTGTGTACTGTTATTGTAATTAGGAATCATTGTTCGTTTTATTTTAAAATATTAGGAAATTACATTTATTATTGTATACAAATATTTTTTAAGGTAAAAGATTTATTTGAATAAAACAACTTAGAGCATAATAATGTTATACTAGTAACTTCTAGTTTCACCTACAACCCATCTTCAGGTTACTGTAAAAATAATAAAAAAATTTTTCATAAATAACATTAAAAAATGATGCAGATAAAATATATATAATATAATAAGTAAAATATTTTGGTATTGTAAGTGAAGTATGGTTTAGTAAAATCATCATTGGGAATGTTACCTTTTCTGGTAACATTCCATACAATTATTATGTGGGAATGTTAATCATTACCTATTTTTGTGTGCGTTGAGAGAATTAGTTCCCAAACTATTTTAACTATGTAAATTGAAAATCTATCTGTTAATCATAAACAGTATATTTTCCAGACAATTTTCTCTGCGGACGGAAGAGTATTTTAAAAAATCGGGAATTTATTTATGCACTAAGAAATATAAATTTGTTGATAACAATTGCTTTTTTATGATTTTGAACAATATAATAAATTATACAAAATTAATTATAGATACATTAAAATAATAATCTATTGTTCTCTTCATCAACAGAAAAATGTAATAATTTATCTCTACGTTTTTACATTTTATATTTCCTACTGAACGAAGTAATTGAAAATTAATAAATGCAAATTGAAAAAAATGTGTTTTCTCTTATCTGGCGACTAAAGTCCATTCAAAGTAATATTAAAATAAAATTTTTCTAATATCTGATATTTCATGACTATTCTTCAAATTTTCTCTAGAGGCTTATGTTCTCAGCTTAGTCCTAGAAAGACTTATTAAATAGCCAATACGATAATAGGTTATTATTATACTCTGAATACGAACATCTCATGGTGACACACAAAAATAATTTTTTATGAATTCAAATAATTGGTGTATTAAAGGTTGTGAGTGCGCGCGCCGTCCATATCCATTTTGGTAGGCAACTTGGTAAAAACTAGCGAGAGCGCGGGAGTTTCGCCGGCGGAAGTCTTTGGTCTGACGTTGTCCGGACCGGAAGTACAACTTTACGCGCTCACTAAAATAACCGTTTTAATGAAAACGAGTATTCAACTCGCCATGCACGTTACACGCTCGTATCGCGTTTTCTGACCAATTAGTCATACATCTATAATTATTAAAGTACAATGTAAAATGTTTAAAAGATAGAGAAAATGAGAGAAACATTCGTGTTAAGTGCTCTACTAAGTAAAATTAAAATGTGGTCAAGGGGCTAAAAGTTTTAGTTTAAACGTCGGCTTGCGTGATAAGAATTGAAAGAACAAACGTTGACATTCGCAGTGTAAATATATTACTCAATAAATCATGTCCAGAAGGAAGCAAGCTACACCCCGCTCTTTGAAACGTAAGTGCTATCTCTGATATCATAATGAGTCATTAGAAAATTTGAGCTTTTAAAAGTACCTACTATTGATAGCCGTTGCACGATAAGATTTTCGATACTTAACATCTAATTTTAGTCGAAAATATTAACTATATACTTTTTCTTGTAATCTTATTAATCATTTTTTAAGTTTTTTTTTTACGTGCGTAAAATTTAATTCACTAAATTTGTGGAATTCTATTCATTTTTATTAATATAACTATTGTTGAATTGATTATATTTTATCACATATAAAAAACGGAAAAACATCTTGTAATAAATTTATACTTTGAATTAAATGACTATCTACTTTTAGTATCAGAAATAGGCTTCTAAAAAATATTAGGAAGTTTGCGAGTTGCTTATTAAAAATTTTTAAGAAATTTACTTGGTTTAAGTAAAATATTTTGGTCATAAATAGTTTTTTGTTAAGTAATAACTTATTCTACTTTTAAAAGTGATATGTATTCATATTTTGTTATTACTAATTCCATTCAAATGAGGATTTTATGTTCTCCATCTATATGCTTACATTTAGTTTAACAAAGTAATTTTGAAAATAGGTGTAATTTAGAGACGTAGAGGTGGCTTTGCCTTTTAATTCTGTTGCAGCCCTCCCCCAAGAAAATGAAATTTGCATGTAAATTTATATAGAAATATTTTAAAAGAGGGAAAAATTAAGTTAGTCTCCTAACATTTTGTTCAAATTGCGCCTATGATTTTTAAGGAGGTTTTATATTCTGACACTTCCTTGAATAGTTATATTACTATTATTATTATTATCAACTATATTTAATAAAATTGAAAGAGGCATTTTATATAAGAATGATCAAAAAAGGTCAACAAATTAAATGTATATGTTTTGACATCTTTTAAAATATTTTAAGGATACTAAAACGATTGTAAATACTGAACTAGAAGCTATAACTTCTGTGATTATATATTTTTTTGTTCTTCACCTAAAAAAATCCCAAATAGGGTAAAAGTGAGATGCTATGAATTTTCTGTATTCCCATATAAAAAGCGCCTAAAGCTTCCTTTGCTTTTCAATTTTTTTCTTTGTTTAAATAAAAACTGTATTATCTAATAAAAAAGTCGAATAACAATTTGTTCTGTCTCTTTATAAGCCATGTGGATACTTATGTTCGCCGAAGCAAGGCTATAATTAATTAATACATATTAATTAATTCTTCCTCAATAATTAAATATTGGGGGCGATGACTCATCCTATTGAGTCCTTTATAGTGGCTTATTAAACTAAGATTCTCTTTTAAGAGATTTTTATATTTTCTTTAATAAAATAATTCTATTTAAAAATTCGTCCTTCTAAAAAAACAGTTTACAATTTATAGGTTATTCTTAGTAGTTACATTTTAATGTGAATTATGGTAACCTCTCAATGATTGTGTGCAACTATATTATAAACTTTAAATTTATTACATTTTAAAGTATAATTTGTAATAACGTTGTTGATTACTAATATACCATGTTTGGTAAAATAGTATCATTATGATGATACTATTTTAGTATATATTGCACGGTAAACTAATATCAATAATAAATAATGATAGTCAAATCGAAAATCAGGAGTTAGTTTATGTGCAAGACTAACTAATTTTTTTAATAAATGTTTTTTCATTAATTTATTATTACTTCTATAGGTGTTAAGTTATAATTATGTTATAAAATATCACATTAAATATGTACAAATTAAAATGGGTTATCTTTACGTTATTGTATTCTATTGAATTATCCTATAGCAAGTATATTTTTCATATGTCACCCCTCGAATTATAACTTTAATTATTAAGTCTACTAAGTTTTTTTTGGTAGTAAATATAAAACTGTATATTATTTATACATCAGTGCTACATTGCAAAAACTGATAAATCACAAAAATCAAGAGATGGGTACAATAACCAGGTAAATTTTCTTTTGCAAAATTTTTAGGAGGAACAATTAACTTAAACATTTATTATTAAAGTTATTGGTCATAAGGATTTCTTTGGTAAAATACTTCTGTCAAAACCAACTATAAGTTATGTTTTAATAAAATACTCTAAAAATAATTTTTTTCAAACATAATAAATATTAAATAAATTAAATAATTGATAATATTTAACATAATGCTTTAGTTGCCGCTTAGATAATTTTTACGGAGATAAAATTTCCTATGGCTTTTTCTCAGTTTTATTAAATAAATTTTTCTGAAATATAAAATTATAAGCAAATAAATAACTTTTAAAAAAATTACATAAATAAGAGACTTTTAGCTGCGTTGCGAAGCTGAGAAGGTAATAATTTTACTATGTGTTTTTTTATTTATTTTATTTTTTTTTGTGCCAGTTACCACTTTTTCTCAGCTACACCGAACCGATTTCTTTCAACAATACGTCTAAAGATCACAAATCGTATCTAGTTCTCAAATTACTACATTATCCTCAAAAATTGAAAACATTTCTCTCGTTCCCCATAAATGGGCGAAATCTCCAAAAAAAAAAAATACAAATTTAAAAATCGATAATTTTCGACATTTTTTCAATAATTTTACTTAAAACTGTCATAACTTTTTTAAAAATGAACAAAACAATATAATTTTTTTTATAGATGTCTTTACTTATCATTTGATAAATATTTTTTATAAATCTGACTTTTTACCTCCCTACAGGGGGGAATTCAAAATGACAACTTTTTCGCAAAAAATTAACTTTTTCAACTTAACTTTTGATAGTGTTCCGGAAAGTCAGATACTTTTATATATATCTTAAATTAAAGCTAATGTAATATACTATATCATAGAAAAAAAAATGTTGGACTTAATTTTGTCTTCATGGTGAAAATGGCTACTAAATGCTATTTTTGTGTGATATAAGGAAATAGCAGGTCATGTAGCTTTTAGAATAATCCACTAATTTTTTTAAATTAAACACTATCTAAAGATTTGCATCGAAGCGTTTTTTATGATATTAATTTTAATCACTGTCCGATATCATTATACATGACCCAACTATGCCACGACCCCCCTTTGCTAGGTTTTTTTTATTTTCGTTTTAACAAATTATAAATTGCAAAGATTATAAAAAATTTCTTCTCAATAGTAATTTTACACTTGTTTGGTGATTATATTTTACAGTTTCCTACGTAAAATGGTTTTTTTTATTATCCCGCCTTAAGAAATATATTTTAAAACGTATTTAAATTAGTGATAAATAATTAAGAAAAAAACTGATTCGTCAAAATATATTATATAATTTTATAAGGTATAAATTCTATAAGAATTATGAAAAAAACAAGTTAAATTAAAATAACAAATTGATTATAAATAATTAAAAAAACCCGGCACAGTTAGAATGTGGCATAGTTAGGTCAAGTATAATGATAAATGACAGTGATTAAAATCATCATCATAAAAAACGCTTAGATGCAAAACTGAATATAGTGATTAATTTTAAGAAATTGGTGGATTATTCCAAAATCTACATGATTTCCTATTGCCTTATTTATATCCTGATTACAAGTTTTATGATTTATATGTGTAATATATGAATAAATAAATATTTATAATATATAAAGGGAAATGGTTTTATTAAAAAAAAAAGAGGTATATAAATAGTATTTATCATAAAAAAAATTGTATTGATCTATATATTTCTTAAAAAGTTAAAAATGTAAAATATAAAATCGAGAATTTTCACACAAAAATAGCATTCGGTAGCCATTTTCACCGGGAAGACAAAATAAAGTCCAACATTTTTTTTTCTATAATGAAGTGCATTACATTAGCTTTAATTTAAGATATATATAAAAGTGTCAGACTTTTCGGAACACTATCAAAAGTTAAGTTGAAAAAGTCAAATTTTTGTGAAAAAGTTGTCATTTTGAATTCCCCCTGTGGGCAGGTAAATGGTCAGATTTATAAAAAAAATATACCAAATGATCAGTAAAGACGTCAAGCATCTATAAAAAAAATTGTATTGATTTGTTCATTTTTAAAAAAGTTATGGCAGTTTTAAGTAAAAAAATTGAAAAAATGTCAAAAATTATCGATTTTTAAATTTTTTGGAGATTTCTCCCATTTATGGGGAACGAGAGAAATGTTTTCAATTTTTGAGGCTAATGTCTTCGACTATATACGATTTGTGATCTTTTGACGTATCGTTGAAAGAAATCATAGTAAAACCAATACCTCCTTAAGAAATCGGTTCTTTAAGAGTTGAGAAAAAGTGGTAATAGACATAAAAAAAAAAAACACATCATAGTAAAATCAGAGCCTAGATACAGTCGTCTCTTACGTCCTTCCTTAGATTTGCGTCAGACTCTCTCTAGTAGGGGTTCACATATTTACCATATTTAACATACTAAACTATCTTATTTTAAATAAATAGTAATTTTACAAGATTGCAGTTAACAATTTTACTTTAAGTCTATAATTTATTGTTAATATTTAATGCAAAACGATTTAATTTGTCGCATAGTGTTAATTGTGAAAAAATCTTCTACAATTTTGTGTATATTATTATTTATGAATAATTAAAAAATTATCGACAATAAATAACGAATACAATTTGATATTAATACGTGTTTATTAAGTTGAATATCTTATTTGAAGTAAGCACAGAGTCGTATTAATGATTTAAGCAGCCCGGGCAATTTTAGAATTTGATATGCCCACATAAGCAAAAAAATGTTCAACTTACCCTGAAAAAAATTTTTGGCTACTCCATTGCTAATAACCCTTAGATATCTCGCTTTTTAAAAAACATAAGAATATACATTTTTAAATAACATTACATATATTATATTTTTACCACAGTCTTATCGGGTTCATCGGCTAAGATACCTGCAAAAGTTCAAAAAGCGCCCTTTTCGTTGCGTCTTAGGGTAGCTTTCTCTCATGTAGACTGACACTGAGCGTTTATAAAATTTAAAAATAAAAAAAATTTTTTTGTTCATTCACACCTTTTTCTCAATTTTAAATTTGATAAGTTAGTGCACAAATAAAACTATAGATTTCTTGATGCAGACATAGTGAATTGACTATCATATTAATTACTTTAGTATGAGATATCTAAGTTGGTTGGTGGTAGCAGCCAGCAACATCGGTCAAAATGAATTCTCATTGTAACGCAATGGGAAATTCAACGGGCACGGTCAGGTCTCTGGGGACGCAGTGTTGCCGGCTCAGTTTTCCCGTCGGTATATGCTACCCCTCCCTCTTTTTCTCTCTTCCTGTCATTCATTTCCCCAGTTATTTTCCTCCGACCGACCGCTCCGCCCTTCCACTTTAGCTACACAACACTGTATATATATATATATATATATATATACACACACGTTAACATTGGTGGAATGCGTGGTGACGGTTAAGGTGGTGTACTGTGGAAGTGAACGTGTACTACTGCGCGTAGTCCCGTGAGACGGTGCAGAGGGTGGTGCGGTGGAGGAGGCATAAACTTTTCCGTTCGGCGTCGTGTGCCTGTTCTTTGGTCTCTGGGGGTACGCGCTGAGAGAGCGGCTTCTCATATAACTGCGAGGACCAGCTGTCTCTCGAGCGTCTCCAGATTCCCTAGGGATTTATACAGTACCTATAACATAGTGTGATAGAAGAGGAACAGCTTGAGAAGACCCAGAGAGGAGGCAAAGAGAAAACTCGGTCAGGTGGTGCTTTAGTCTTATTGAGCTGCATCTTTAAGGAAACTTGGCATGTGCGTGCCAAGCAAAATTATAAAATTGAATTTTCATGACTATATCTATTGTCCACAGGATAATTATTAAATAAAACGTGTATAATCAATATATCAATCTTTAAAATGTGCATTTGTTATTATTACACCCAGAAAAGCAGGAGTAGAAATAACAAATTTATAATTAACACACAATATATAAATAATTATCTAAATTATGTAAGAAGTACATATAACAAATAACTCATTACAATGACATAACTTTAAAGATAGATCTTACAACGAATTACTAAAAAATTAAATAAAAGATTTTTGATGCAAACCATTAATATTCTTTTGATACGAGATCATACAAAAGTAATTATGATGATAGTGTTATATGTGAAGTAAATATCGTGTGAGTTGTAATTTAGTTAATGCAAATTAACCTATCTAATAATTCCGGACAGGCAATAAAGTGATTGAGTAATTTGTTGACTATATTTACAACATTAAAATGTCTTCTTGAAATGAGAGTATCTAACTGTAAATTTTGGGAAATTCAACTAATATCAACATTTTAACCGGGTTTAGAAGTTAATTATGTTTAAAAATTTTATTGGAACTTTTTTGTTTCTTAAGCTAGCAGTAACTATGACTTTTTGAGATTCAACATGATTGCCTCTGATTATATCTTATGGTTTATTTTTAATAGCGAAAATTATGTAATATTATAATTATTATTATTATTGAAATAATGAGCAATAACAAAATTTTGACATATAAACAACTAGTATAATATAGCAATTTCTCAACACGCATTTATTCAAAAAATATACTATTTCTAACATCGTTGCAAGGACATTACTATAATTATGGTGTTATACCATTTCAACTCCTCGAGGGTGCGATTTGTCAACGTGGCTGTCAAAACGACTGGGTTTGCACCAGTTAACGGATTCTTGTGTCCCCGAGAAATGTCCTGCACATACCCAGTTGATGCGTACTAATTGAGTCCTATTAATAAGCGGTCAACCACTGTAAGTGGGTGCGGCTGATATGAATATAATGATAATATTTTAATATTTGCGGTTAAATAAATTTTTTTAAACGTGAACAACAATTATGTAATTTACGCTTATATATATACTTACTACAAAAAGAAAATCGATTAATATTGAGAGTATTAATATTTTTGACTTATAAATAAAATATTGACAAAAATAATGCACAGTTCTTATATTTAACAATGTTGGTCATTTCAATTGTTAGTTCCATTAAAAATATTTTAAATATATGTAAAAATGTATACCGATATATGAAAACATGAGAAAAGTACCTTTATTAGGAATTTTAAATAGGTTAAAAAATAATCGCGTGACAATAAAAATGATAACATTTAGTTTAAATATATTAAAATTGGAGTATTTTGTTTAATTATTTATAATTGATTTTCATATATTTTTGTATGCAATACTTCTTAATCCAAATTTTTTTTTTAGATGGAAACCCTGACGCAGACGATACTATAGCAGATAAAGATCTCGTACCGCCTTTATCATCTGCCGGTAAGCAAAGTTAAACGTGTACGAAGTAAAGTGAACTTGATAGAAATCATAACTACATCGATTTTTTTATTATTCTTTTACTCGTACAGCGTTAGTCTCACGCTGTAAGTGTATAAAATACAGAAAATTGTATTCTTTCTCCTTCAGGTGCTAGTGGGGGATTTTTCAAATCCCCTCGGGTATATTCATAACGAAGAAACGAGGTGCAAGGAACCGTTTTTGCAATTTCCACTCTTTTGTATCCACATTCCGGTCAATAGGATGATCATTACCCTTATCTGCCGTAGCGACCGATGACAACGAAGCTTGCGTTTAACTAAATTGACCGGTATGGCGAAGGTTCATAAACGCGTTTCATTACTCCAGTGGGAACAGCTGTTTATATTTTCCGTCCTTGTTTCTTCATCGATATTCAGCGTATTTTATTTTAGTCGCTATTTCTTCACTTTAATCCAACATACGGAATGATTTTCCAAGAAGTGACTATTTAAAAGTAAAAATTGAAAATAATAATGATCTTTATATAAACAATTGTTGTAGTACACATGACAATAACAAGAAATTGTCTTTTTAAATTCAATAGCAATCGGTAAAATCAAGTTAATACGTTTTAATTATATATACTAAATATTTAACTGTATGTAAGTGTATTAAATTTAATAAAACCGAAAAGATACGTTCAGATATATATCGTTTCAATTACAGGAGAAATGATAAGAAAAAAAAAAGGAGAAAACATTGGGAAACAACGGGTGGAGGAACTTACCTTTTATGTGGGAAGGTTATGGTTCTCTTGGGGTTTACCGACTAATCAGAGTTTTTCTTACGTATTTTCTCTTTTTCCTCCTGTACCCGTTCAAACAGTTCGTCTGAAACCAAGTCAATATTAGTATGCGTATGATGGTAATCTCTAAAGGGAGTGTCTACATCCACTTTTAACGTTTGATTAATTATATCTTATCTTCGTTCGTAGGATCATCACCTAAATTTTTAGCTCATAGATTTTTTTACAAAAATATTTACATCTAAATATTATTAGCTTCGATGCGAAGCTGAGAAGGTATTGGTTTTACTAAGATGTGTTTTTTTTTTTTTGTGTCTGTTACCACTTTTTCTCAGCTCTCACCGAACCGATTTCTTTCAATGATACGTCAAAAGATCACAAATCGTATCTTTTTATATATATGCATGATATCATTACCTTTCATTTGGTATATATTTTTTTTATATGTGACCCTTTACTTGCCCACAGGGGGGGATTTAAAATGACAACTTTTTCACAAAAAATTAATTTTTTCAACTTAAATTTTGAAAGTGTTCCGGAAAGTCTGACACTTTTATATATATCTTAAATTAAAGCTAATGTAATGTACTTTATTATGGAAAAAAAAATTTCGAAATTTATTTTGTCTTCACGGTGAAAATGGCTACCAAATGCTATTATTGTGTGAAAATTCTCGATTTTATTTTTTACATTTTTAACTTTATAATGCTATAACTTATTGAAAAGTGTATTGATCAATATAATTTTTTTATGAGAAATAATATTTTTTAATAATCCCTTTTTCATTCGGCATACTTTATCTTAATCAAGATATTAATAAGGAACTAGCAGTTTATAAAGCTTTTGGTATAATCCACCAATTTTTTAAAATTAAACACTATCTAAAGATTTGCATCGAAGCGTTTTTTTTTTGGATAGTGATTTTAATCACTGTCAGATATCATTATACTTGATCCAACTATGACACGTCACCACTGTGCCGCGACCCCCCTGTGCTAGGTTTTTATTATTAATATAATGACTATTATAGTTCTTTAGTTACATTTATTTAATACATCCCTGGACGAACGTAATGTGGTTCATACCTAAAAAAATTCAATAGTTAATGTAAATTTAGAGGAGTTTATTTTAGATTTTACTAAAAAAGGGGCAAATTTTAGACCAACATTTTTCGAAGCCGCTCGTCTCACTCATTTCCTAACAACTCCTATTACACATAATATAAAAACTACCATTACAGAACTTTTTTAAAAATTATTTTTACAATAATAAATAAAAAATTTAGAAATAAGGAATTTATTTATTTACTTAGATAAAAATTTAAATTAAAGAAAATTATATACACAATCATATTTATAATTTCCATTAAATATATATATAAATATAATTAATAGTATAAGGAATTTCAGTAAATATATTAAAAGTGGCTAAAACCAAAAGCTTTTTTTATATTTTAAATATCAAATATTAAGTGTCTTTTTCATAGGATAAATATTAATTTTTATTACAATTTTTTGATAAATTTATATTAGGTTTTAACGGGGAATGGACTTGTTTAAAGTATATCCCACTCAACAAGAGTGTAAAATGGCCAGTCCCAGTTCGCATTAATGATTAGACTGGGGCAATTACCCAAGTTGTCAACCTTTAAATGGCGCCCTATATTAATTTTCAAAAACTTTCCTAGGAATAGGAAATATTTCTTTGCCTCAGAGAAATATTAAGCTAGAAAAAATATATAAATTAAATACTTTGTCTTCAATTTAAAAAAAAATTATATAGTGATTTTGCTGTTTAATCGGTTTTAGATTATTCACTATAAATAATTTAAATAACTAAAATAAATAAAAAGTTGAAATTATTTGTTTCGTATTTATTAATTATTTAGAAACTATATTTAATTTAGTTTCTAGTCTAATGAAAATTATTTATTATTAATTAATTGTTTAACGGCAGAATTTAATTACTTATTAAAAATAAATATCGGTGATATTAAACTTTGTAAAATCGAGTTATATTTTATCATTTTTAACTAGATTTGAGCATAATTTAAAATATATTTCAATTTGAAAAGACCTCGTTTAGCATGTATTTATCGTTAGAGTATTATGATGTACTCTTTCTGTCTGAAAAAACTACCAGTAGATTTTAACTCTTTCAGTCGGCATGTCACGTTAACCTGGACAAAGGGTACAGCCGGGTAACGCTGAGAGGAGCGGGGAGATTGTTTGGCCGGTGCAAATTCTGGCTTGGGAAGTGAGTGAAGGCAGGAGGGACAGGGTAGATAAGCCGAGAGACCGTCGGCCACCTGGGATTGCCAACAACTCCATCAGAGTGGCTTAGCGAGGCGCAGCAATTTCCCCAGAGTAACGCTCACGCTTACTTCTCTTCGTCTGCTCCAACCTACTCCGCCACGAGCATTTCTATCCCGACGCCTCAATGCATTTCGACCGTTTGAACCACGCAAAACCACTAGGAGAATTGATGAGTTCTCTACTGCCTGTCTGGTACAATGCAATACATCTACCACACCAACAGGCTTGAAAATATAATAAAATACTCGTTGATTTCATGCGAGGGCTATTTATATACTCTCGATGAGGTTTATATTCAACTATTTTGTTAAACTATAGTGTACTTATTAAAATTATTAGTTTTATATTATGTCGGTCAAATGTTAATAGACAGTTAAACAATATAAAAGAAAAGCGTGCAGATTTGCGAATTTTTCTAAGAAATAGACTGAAATGAGAAATAAAACGTACAATATAATAATATTTTGTGTACGATAGACCGCAACGGCAGCGACGAACGGCCTCCGGGGTGCCGTTCCTGTAGGTAACCTTCGGAAAACTGTACCGCGCTGACATATTAGTCTACAGAGGATACGGGTATTTGTGTGTGTGTATGTGTAAGCGTGGGGGCGCACATCATACTGTCGCCTCCCAGAGGTACCCCCGACCCCCAGCTTTTCACTCACTTCCTCACCCGTACCGTTTGCGTTATTGTTGTTATCTCGCGTGCACATGGCTTTTGTTTACCGGCAGAACGCCCGAAGGCGTCGAATGTCTCAAGGGACACCGGCAAGTTTGCATTTTAAAACTACTCCCGGGAGCACTTCTTTCTACCTTCTCCGTTCTTCTCCAATTTTCTATCCAAGTCTTTTTTTTATATTTTTTCATCTATATAACTGTATTCATAAGACTTTGCGCTAGAGATATAATTTTTCTATACCATAAAATATCGCTAGAGTATATTAGGTTTGTTAGAAGTTTTATGAAATAATACAAGTACATGTACGTGTATTATTTCATAATCATATTCACGACTGCAGTCATTAATGTATATACACACAGTATGTATGTAGGTATGACACGGTGTAATTGACTAGCGTTAAATGTTAAAAAATAAATTGTGAAAACCTTAACGAGGTATCAACTATTTTAAATTAAAAACAAAAATCCCTAATATCAATTTTCGAACTATAGTAGCAACTTTTTTTTTCAAATTTATTGTATTTAGTGGATAGCGGTTATTTATGTTATTTTACAACTGTATTATTAATATTAGATAACAATAAAATTATATAACTTATTAAGTAATTATCGATAGTACAGAAATAATATTAGTATCCTTTTTTTTTAAACATATAAATCGAGGAGGATTAGGAGGCAGGCACAAACTAATCACTAAATAGTAAAACTAATACCTTCACAGCTTCTTATCGGAACTAAAAATAAAGTACTTGTATTTTAGAAAAAAGTATAATTTATAAATTCATTGATAACGAGTTCACAGAACAAAAATTTACATAATAATAAAATAAAATACAAACTATTTCTATCCCATTTAGAAGTTAAATTTTTTATATGCGTAAAAAAATATATTTATTTACTAACCATTTTCTTTTATACAATATTTCTTTGAGTAGTTTACTTAACGATATTTTGAAACATTACTCTTTTAAAATTCGATTATTATCATTTTAATGAAAAAATTAATAAATGTTTCTATTTAATATATTTACACTGAGTTTTAAATATATTAAGTAATTTAAAAGGAGTACACGTGAGATGTATTTAAAAATTTGTAATGAGGAGAGGAATAAGAAAAAATATTTTTATTGACAAGTTACCAGAAAAAGGTTGTTATTATTTTTATTAATTTTAAATCGAATATGAACAGTTTTAAAAAAATTCTTTAAATACGCAGATAACTGTAGAAATATACCTATTATCCATCATAGAGACGCATTATTATTTAATTGTGTACAATCGCTGCTTTATTATAAATTATAATTCATACTATAGTGTATTGAACTTAAATCTTTTAAATTATTTTTTGAAGGGGGTATGTTAAATGAGGTACTTACCTACTTAAAAAATAATATCAAACACTAACTCAATAATGGAATGTTTTTTTTTAACTACGACTGCCACTGGACATATAGAAAATAAGTTGTCGGCACAATTTTTTTTTTTTTATAAACTATATGTAACATAAGCTTTAATTTAACATAACTTTTAATTTCATGGTATTTCCGGAACATTTTTCTTCAATTAGATACTATTTGTGTCCTTTTTTTGTATCATTCAGTAAAATCGATCCAGTAAAAATAGAAAAAGTATTGACAGACATACAAAAAAAAATTAAAAAGAAAAACGTAAAACATAAAATTAATTCTCAGCTTTGGATTAAAGCTAAACCTAAAAAGTTATAATCTTAAGTTTCCACCATGAATTAGTCAGCGAAAACACGATTTAAAATTTAATGAACTTATTAAAAATGATAATGATCCCCATTAATGACTCATTATTTAGTAGGAGTCAAATGATTTGGCTATTTAGGGGATAAAAAACCTTTCATGATCAATATTATATCAAGATATTATATCAAGATATTATATCAAGATATTATTATGGATTAATAGATGTGCGATAAGGTTTTGTTCTTTTTAACTTATTACATATAAATAATAACCAAGATTTAAAATTTAATCTCTCAAAATTTATAAGACTAATATTAATACACTCAATAATGTTAATAAAGTTTCCTAAATATACAATATACATAATAAAAATTATAAATATTATAAAAATGTTAAGAAGTTATGTCAATGGACATAATTACCTTCATTTGACCTCCACTGTTATAAATGGCGTATCTCAGATTTTGTTTAGAGTGTATAGTATTAGACTTTAAATAATAATTGAATACTAGTAAAAGTCTAAGTATAATAAGCTCCACCATTTTTAGCTTCGATGCAAAGATGAGGAGGTATTGGTTTTACTATGATTTCTTTCAACGATATGTCAAAAGATCACAAATCTTATTTAAACGAAGACATTATTCTCAAAAATTGAAAAAAATTCCCTCGTTCTCCGTAAATGGGGGAAACCTCCAAAAAAATTACAAATTTAAAAATCGCTAATTTTCGAAATTTTTTCAATTTTTTTTACTAAAAACTGCCGTTATTAATTTTTTTTACTTATCATTTGGTATATTTTTTTTATAAATTTAACCATTTAACTGCCCACCGGGGGAATTCAAAATGACAACTTTTTCAACTTAACTTTTGAAAGTGTTTCGGAAAGTCTGAAATTTTTATATATATCTTAAATTAAAGCTAATATAATGTACTTTATTATGGAAAAAAAAAATTTCGAAATTTATTTTGTCTTCACGGTGAAAATGGCTACCATATGCTATTATTGTGTGAAAATTCTCGATATTATTTTTTATATTTTTAAAATTATAATGCTATGACTTATTGAAAAGTGTATGGATCAACACAGTTTTTTTATGAGAAATAATATTTATATCCTTTTTCATTCGACATACATTATCTTAATCAGGATATAAATAAGGAAATAGCAGATCATGTAGCTTTTGGAATAATCCACCAATTTTTTAAAATTAAACAGATTTGCAACGAAGCGTTTTTTATGATAGTGATTTTAATATTCAATATTTTCAACTTTACTGTTTGAAAATTTTTATAGAAAAAAAAATGTTTGGACTTTATTTTGTCTTTACGGTGAAAATGGCTACCAATTGCTATTTTGATGTGAAGATTCTCGATTTTATATTTTTAACTTTTTAAAAAATATATGGATTAATACAATTTTTTTATGATAAATACTATTTATATACTTCTTTTTTTTTTTAATAAAACCATTTTCCTTTATATATTATAAATATTTATTTATTCATATACTACACTTATAAATCATAAAACTTGTAATCAGGATATAAATAATGAAATAGGAAATCATGAAACTTTTGTAATAATCCACTAATTTTTTAAAATTAAACACTATCTAAAGATTTGCATCAAAGCGTTTTTTATGATAGTGATGTTAATCACTGTAAAATATCATTATACTTGATCCAACTATGCCAAGTCATCACCACTGTGCTGGGTTTTTAATAAAAACAATTTATGAAGATACATAGATAATTCATTTATGTATAACAAATCGAACGTATTTATTCTGGCATAAAAAAAATAAGCAGTGTATTAATGTCCACGTTATGTTTATTATCATGTTATCGATACATAATATGATATATATAAGTCTAGGGATTTCGTTAAAACATTCGTATATATTTTACGTTAAAAATTATTATATTTTTTCTAGGGTCGGTTGGTTCTAAAAGCGACGACGACGAAGGAGATGAAGACGAAGAAGAAGAAGAATGTGTGGATGACGATATGTCGGTTAGTTTCTCAGGAGATTCAAACCAAAGTTTACTTTCAGGTAATTTCGTGTTACATCATGTACTCGCATATTTTGTTTATATAACACTAACGCAATTATTTTGATGATTTATCATTCATCATTTCCCGTGATTGTTTTGATTGGTGATCAAATTTCCACTGAAAAATATGAATGAAAGTGTGTTTATTTCTTTGGAGTAGATTTAATTTCTATTAAATTATTGTATAATATCATTTTGCTCTTGTACTCCGTGAATAATATTGCCGTAGAATGACTATGGGACATTGTAGTATTGTTACTGACGGTGTGTGTACTTGAAATAATTACGCTTAACGACCCGCATGAAAACTGTCTGTAATAACCTCTTCATGTTACCGCCGTATGAATCAAATTGGTTTTTTTTTAAGTATTTTCCTATGAACCTTTTGCTATAATAATATATTTTTGTAAGAGTACCAAAAAAAATATCAGTAAAGTTTACTAAAATATAAACATTCAAATAATATAGATGTTATATTTTACAAATAAACTTAAAGATCCGAAAATTGTAGCCTTGGGTGATCATTATCCTTATTGATACAACACTATACGAAATTCATAGTGTTCTGAAAAATTAGTATCATGTTTAAAAAAAGAATTTTGTGGTTTTTTTTAAATATATAAAATGTGTTAGTGCGTATAAAATAAAGGGGTTAGGTTTGTAAAGTTTTAATAATTGTACCCTTGCTAAAAGTTGCCGGCGCCGTCTACTCAGCGGTGGTGATGAAGGCGGAGGTCGAATCCTCTCGGGAACGGTAATAAACCCAGGGTGGAGATCATGAGACATTTATTTTGTTTGATTGTTATTGCCTGTTGTGTAAATGCAAAAAAATAAAAGATCCACCCGTAGAAAAAATGTGAAAAACGTCAGGGATGGAAAATCGATTGTTGCAATGTATAGTTGCACATTAGTATTGTGAAGTGGAAAATATACTCGCAATGGACATGTTATGTCAAATAAGAGGCGTGTGAGACCAGCCTCACGATGACCCGTAGACAATCGAGAAATATACACAGAAATGAACTTAAAATTCCATACTCTGGGGAAATAAAGATTATAACTTAATTATTATTACATGCATGCATAATGACAGGTTTAATTACAGGTAGATATTTCAATCTAATTAGATAAAATAATCGAAAAGTGTTATTATTGAATTGTCAATATTCATTACCCATTTAATTTATTTATTTATGTTTAAATAAACCGAGCTAATAACTTAAAGTTTATAATTTAAAAAAAAAAACAATTGGTTAATACAATGTATCAAATATTATATAAAATATTCATACAATAGAAAATAGTTTCTGGAAAAAAATAACAATTACTGGAAGTTTACATAATGTATAGCTAGAAATTCCTTTTTTAAATAAAAAGTTAATAACTTTATAATCTTGTAAATTCTACTTTTGAATAAAAAATTGTTAAACAATACCTCACCCTTTGATATGAACATTACATAACGTAAAAACTTATTTATACTTTTAAATAATTAACACCTATATGACTTTTGTATTGTCATTTGAATAACTTATGTATTTGTTTTTAATATAATACAAAAAATACACTTATATAATAATTAGCATATTTAGATTTTTAAAGCATGCTTAAAAATGTTCAAAGCTAGCGCTACATATTTTGATAGCCTGTTAAAAATTACGGATGATGGCGTTTTATCAAAATTATTTTAATTTATTGTTTGAACACAATATTTTTTGTAAATTTTTTTATTTAATTATTGGAATTGTATGTTTAAAATGCCCTCCTAAAAGTTATTCTTGCAAGTTTGTGTCACTAATTACGCCACTGCTTTTCACGCTTAACAATTTTCGTATACATTTTGGTATTTTATTTAAATATATAGGGCATAGGCCCAAATAGTGTTTTAAACTTAGAGGTACTTAAGCTCCAAAGGTAAAAAAAGTTTTTATCTCTCCGTTTCAAATGGTCTGCCATACCTTTTTTTTTTAAATCTATTTATATACAATTATATACATACAATTTTTTCATACATCTGGTATTTTAATTATTATAATAATTATAGTAAAACAATTATTTTTTAAACCAAAACATATTTCTATGTTTATAGTGAAATACATATACTACACTGTAGATATTGCATAATCATAATATTAAATATAATTACTGTAGTAATTATTTACATAATATTATAAGCAATTATTTTATTTGTTATTGAAAAGTTAAAAAAAATTGTAAAATCTGTTTAGAGGTTTTCTAAGTAGCTAAAACATCTTCCTAAATTGCGTGTTTGATTTGAGGATCAAGTTCAATATGGTAAATTTATATTCACCGATATAGATAGATCTATATATCAACGAGTGTGTATAATTTGAACTACAGGTGGATATATGACACGTGCCTTTCGTCTAGATTGCAATGCAGGTGCTTTCCACTCGATCGATCCCTCTTTTTTCTCTCAGTCTTTCACAAACTAGTCGCCCCTCACACGTAGTTTTACATAGTAACGAACCAGGTGACACCTGCGACAAACCTTGTGACCATCATCGATGTAATTCAGTATTGATTTGGCCTTATGTTTTATTATAGTTACATAAATAGATATGTTGAGTATGGTACAACAGTTGTTTGTCACTTGATGTGTTTAAATCTAAAATAAAACAACATTATCTATTTGAAGAAAAATTTGCGAACACTGAACGGTTGTGTGCGTACCGATTAAAAATTTTAATAATCTATTTTGAAAATAGAAACTTTAGATTAAGTTTCAATGTAATTTTATATTGTCGAAGTGCGTCACATTATTACTATAAATCACGCTATTTACAAATGACGCTTCCTGATTCACGTAATAATATTGTAATCGCTCAAGTAAATATGACCAAGGAAGAGATTATAAACAAAGTGAAATATAAAAACAGAAGCGTTGTCAAACTCCCACAAGCTGTCATTAATTATGTTGTTGGCGCGCAGCGGGAGGGTGACGTGCCCTAAATGCCATCCACACTCTCCGCTACCACAATAGTTTTGTCATTTATTGTGTGAGTAATGGGCGGTGGAATTATGGGAACCGAAAAGCCCAGGTGCTAGAACCCCCACGCCGAGATATTACGATAACAGTATAGTAATAATAAGAAGAAGAAATCCATTTTTACCGCAATTCGGACAAGCAGATTATGACGATTTAAAGGCTTTTGAACTAATGAATAGAAAATATGTATATGTTATACAATAAACGCATGATGCACAACGAACGTGTTGTTTTCTTGTGAAACAAAGAACGGCTTTTTTCACCCTAGTCTTAATTATTTCTTGAATTGGAAAAACTAGTATTATACTGACATCCACGTACTAAGTACCCGTTTTGTACATTTGAAGAGAACAACCAAATAGTTAAATCTTATTTTCATATTATTTTTATTGTTATTCTCACTTTGAAAATGGATCTTGGAATAAAAGATATAATTTTAATAAAGATTAGTTAAAATATTTGTATAATCTCATTTTTAACGATTATAATATCGAAATTTGGTTAATCTATTAAGTGTTCCCTTAAAACATTTTAGTTTTTTTTTTTTTAATAATATTTTATGTATATTTGAAAATAAAAAAAATAAAAACATGAATAATATTTAATTACAGAGAGATTATTGTTTCAATCGGTAAAGCTCACGACAATCATGTATAATAAATATGTTTAAATTTGTCCAAAATTTAAAAGTTTTTTGATAATAACATTGTACAGATTAGACTATAATTCAGTTACTAATTAGATCCTTGTTTAGAGTTCATTGTATTTTCTATTTATTAGTAATTTAAAATTCTTCTCGGGCTTTCGATAAATAGAATTATTGTTTATGCTCTTCAAGTCATACGATTCTAAATGGATTAAACCAAATGTGAATGAGGTGTTGACTTTCTAACCAATGAACAACTGCCATCGTCTTATTGTTCTAATTGACCACTACGGCGGCTATCCTCGTTAACACTCTATAGAAGAAATTACACGGATAGCAGAAAAAGGCGCCACACACATTTATCACTATAAGAATAGTATACAACAACGTCCACTCTGCGACTTACGACATACAATAATGTCAAGTATTGTTAATGTGGTTTCAACAAAAATTATTATTGTTATAATAACAATATATTATTGAACATATTATATTATATGAGTGTGTATTTTAATGTGCACGCGCGTGTATTTTTCCTTGTTTTTGCGGCTGTGATGTCATACATAAGCCCGCATGTGTCTGGCCCATAACTTGTACACGGTTTTACGGCTTTCTCCACTCATCGTTGTCGCCAGTAGGGCTAATTGATTTTCTTTCTGCGCCCGTTGCTAGTTGAATTTTAGAACCACTGCTCCAGACGTCACAGGTGTTACACTTTGTTATATTATTGGAACCATATTTTTCTGAACTATTTGGTTATCATAAACTAAGAGACACTATTGACAATCGTTTCTTAGGATATGAACGTTTAGCGAGTGTTGGTACAATCGAATTTTTCTATTAGATCTTATTGTAACGTTTCTCTTTATTAATTACAAGGTTTTAAAATTGGTTTAATATATATAACTGTCACCAATTTATTTTAATGTAATATTATTTAAAATTCAGTACTTAAAAGAATTTATGTAACCTTTAAATGATAAATAAACTAAAAATACTTAATGAATAAATAAAAAATTTGGTATGTTTTGTTCAACAATATAATGTTAAAAAAAAACTATTTTTTTTTTTACGGAAACAGTTTTAAGGCATTCAACAATAATAATATTGACGTACATTTGTTTTTTTTCAATAAAATAATATTATTTACGAATATTATAATTATATATAAAGATATTATATAATATTACAATAATATAAGATGTATTATTGTATACAAGGTACACCTATACTCTTGGATATTTTCAGAAGAAATCTTTGTCCAAGTCTCAATAATGTATGAAGACAATGAGTGGGTGCCGTGATTGATCCATATGTTGTAATATCTAAAGAGTAGACCGTTA